TCTGCCCCGTGACCTCCTGCCAGCGGGCGTTCGACACTTCACGTGGCCTCAACGTGCACCTAGCCTGGCACAAGCGCCGTGGGGACGTCACCGCCACTTAGTGGCTGGATGGCGGTTGTTGTTATATTTTAGCCCGCCGCAGTAACGTTAATGATTGTTTGAGCGCCGAGTTGCAGTGCTGGGAGTGTTCTACCTGAGTGGCTTTAGGGCAATGAGTCTGCAGTGTTTATTGAGTGTCTGTGTGTGGAGTGTGTGTGGAGTGTGTGTGTGTGTGTGGAGTGTGTGTGTGTGTGGAGTGTGTGTGGAGTGAGTGCGTGTGGAGTGAGTGTGTGGAGTGTGTGGAGTGTGTGTGTGTGGAGTGTGTGTGTGTGTGTGGAGTGTGTGTGGAGTGTGGAGTGTGGTGTGTGTGGAGTGTGGTTTGTGTGGAGTGTGTGAGTGTGTGGAGTGTGTGGAGTGTCTGTGTGTGTGGAGTCTGTATGGTGTGTGTGGAGTGTGTGTGGAGTGTGTGTGTGTGTGGAGTGTGTGGAGTGTGTGTGGAGTGTGTGGGGTGTTTGTGTGGAGTGTGTGGAGTGTGTGTGTGGAGTGTGTGTGTGGAGTGTGTGTGGAGTGTGTGTGTGGAGTGTGTGTGGAGTGTGTGTGTGTAGTGTGTGGAGTGTGTGTGTGTGGAGTGTGTGTGGTGTGTGTGGAGTGTGTGTGGAGTGTGGTGTGTGTGTGTGTGGAGTGTGTGTGTTTAACACGTATGCTTTCGCGACCAATATTATTCATAATAAATGTGTTTGGGTTAGATCGCGTTATTTATAAATGTGTCGTAACCCTCCACCACCCGACACGGCCAAACAGTAAAAAAATGTGTCACGTTTACAAAGGACAAATAGTTCACTACTTTAGCCCACCGGTGTGTTGAAGAGTGAATCCACAACATTTACAGTTTGAGTACGACGTTTCGCTGGTAATTACATCCAGCATCATCGGGCAATTCGCCAGAATGGTAAAGCCCTCGCTTGCTCCCGGTTATATATAGAGCAGCAGGGTGACGTAATCATTTAACTCATATAAGGTGCAGTGATTAGAGGCGGAGGGAGGTATTGTAATTATATAATCGATTGGTAATCAGTCAATGGTTATGATTAGTAATGAGTTGTAGATTAGTAATTAGTTGTAATGTCTGTTATTGTGATTATATGCTACGTTAGTAATCCGTTAATTAGTATGTGTTTCCTCTATAAGGAATTGTAGTAGTAACTGTCAGAGCGACTGTCGGCAGTGGCAGAACAAGCTTGTCAACAAGGACTCTCAATTGATTTTGATAACGTTGAAGTGTTGTGTAAAACTAATTATTACTGGCAAAGACTAATTAGATAATCCATTGAAATTGAGAGAAGTAGAAATAACTTTAATCGCTCTGACAACTATAGGCTTAGTGCGGCTTGGAAGCGTATTATTAAATAATACATACTACAATGTGTGTGTGGAGTGTGTGGGTGTGGAGTGTGTGTGGTGTGTGTAATATGTGTGTGTGTGGAGTATGTGTGTGTGTGTAGTGTGTGTCTTTGTTCGAACGTCTGTGTGTGGAGTATGTGTGTGCGGTGGTTATGGAGTGTGTGTGTGTGGAGTATCCATAATAGAGGGTTTTTTTGGGTCAGATCGCGTAAATGTATAAATTTTGTGTCGTTAAACCCGCCACCACCCGACACAGCCAATCAGTAAGGTTTGTCACGTAAACAGAACGTGCCAATTCGTCACCAGTACAGCACTCGTATATAGTGTAGTGTATAGTGTAGTATACTAGTACAGCACTAGTGTATAGTGTAGTGTATATTGTAGTATACTAGTACAGCACTAGTGTGTAGTGTAGTGTAGTATACTAGTACAGCACTAGTTTATAGTGTAGTGTATAGTGTAGTATACTAGTACAGCACTAGCGTATAGTGTAGTTTATAATGTAGTATACTAGTACAGCACTAGTAGTGTAGTGTATAGTGTAGTGTATAGTGTAGTGTATAGTGTAGTTTACTAGTACAGTACTAGTGTATAGTGTAGTGTATAGTGTAGTGTATAGTGTAGTATACTAGTACAGCACGAGTGTACAGTGTAGTATATAGTGTAGTACAGCACTAGTGTATAGTGTAGTATAGTACAGCACTAGTGTATAGTGTAGTGGATAGTGTAGTATACTAGTACAGCACTAGTGTATGGTGTAGTGTATAGTGTAGTATACTAGTACAGCACTAGTGTATAGTGTAGTGTACAGTGTAGTATACTAGTACAGCACTAGTGTATAGTGTAGTGTGTAGTGTAGTATACTAGTACAGCACTAGTGTATAGTGTAGTATACTAGTACAGCACTAGTGTATAGTGTAGTGTGTAGTGTAGTATACTAGTACAGCACTAGTGTGTAGTGTATAGTATAGTGTATAGTTTAGTATACTAGTTCAGCACTAGTGTGTAGTGTAGTGTATAGTGTAGTGTATAGTGTAGTGTATAGTGTAGTGTGTAGTGTAGTATACTAGTACAGCACTAGTGTGTAGTGTATAGTGTAGTGTATAGTGTAGTATACTAGTACAGCACGCCGTTGTGTGTCCTGAGAGTCAACACACGGCGAGGTTGACTACTCTGTTCGACGTTTCGCTGGCGATGACAACGACAGCCGGCGGCCTCACCAGGCGCTCTGCCAGAATAGTGAAGAAGAAGTCCTCCTGGATTCTGCCCTTCAGTAGAGGGCACTTAAGGTGATAGCCAAACCTGTGAACCCATTATCAGTGCCCTGCCTTATTAGAGACCAACTCAGACCTTATTGTTCACCCCGTGCCCCTTATAAATCTCAAGGTTCTTCCTACAAAGGCCCATCACAAGGGACAAACACAAACAAATAGACACAAACACTTCTTTGACCGTATTGAAAAGGCTCTACGCCGTATGGGCCTGACAGAAGAAGTCACCCCCTGTGAGTGGCTGGCTGATGTGCCATCTGTTGAGGAAGTACTGAAGGCGATCCAGAGTCTGAGACCAGGAAAGGTACCGGGCAGAGATGATCTCCCAAGCCAAATGCTGAGGGAGGGTGGCGTTTGTGCACAGACTGCCCTATATGACATCATAACAACAGTCTGGACCACTGGACAGGTTCCGCAGGATTGGAAGGATGCCCTGGTGGTCCCCTCTTTAAGAAGGGGGACCGCACAGACTGTAACAACTACAGGGCCATCTCACTCCTCAGTGTGCCGGGAAAGGTCCTGGCATGGATTATTCAACATCGCCTTGCCAGGCACGCTGAGGAGAGGCTTGCGGAGCCCCAATGCGGTTTCAGGAAAGGGCAGTCCTGCACAGATGCCATATTTTCTGTCCGTCTGCTACAGCAGAGGTGTAGGGAATTCCCACAAGACCTACATCCCTGCTTTATTGACCTGGTCAAGGCTTATGATACCATCAGTAGGCCTGGGCTCTGGGTTCGTGCTTTCGGAGTCCCTGACCCTCTGCTCACGATCATTAAGGACCTTCATCATGGTGAGCGGGCCCGGGTAAAACTACGTGGCCGGGAGTCGGAGCCATTCCCTGTTCACTTTGGGGTGTGACAGGGATGTCCTCTGGCTCCCACATTATTTAACATCTATTTCAACCACGTAGTTCGTGAAGCTTTCGATGGCTGTACCAGAGAAAATTTCCATCTGGTACAAATACAATGGGAGGCTGATCGATGCTCGGGTGCGGTCAAGTGATGGCTCCCTATTGCTCAACCATGTATGCTGATGATCTGGTGATTGCTGCTCACTCAGAGGAGGAGTTGGAGGCACTGCTGCTGAACCTGTAGCTTGCCACTAAGAGGTGGGGCCTTACCATCAGCCCCACCAAAACGAAGCACCTGCCTGGGTATTTTGTATCAACGGACACTCCACCCCCACAACTCCCAATCGGTGATGGGGCAGTTGTGGAGAGAGTGGAGAGTTTCCCAAACCTGGGCAGTGTGCTCATGACCGGCTCCGGTTTAACAGCAGAAGTCTCATTCCGAATTAGTCGAGCGGCATTATCTTTTCATCGGTTGCGTAACGCTGTGTGGAAGCTACCTGGTCTGTCGCTCAGCACGAAGCTTCAGGTCTTCTTGGCTGGGTCATGTAGCCCGCATGCCCAGCCACCGCATGTCTAAACAGCTTTTATTTGGCCAGATCAAGGGGGCTAAACAGGCACGGCACGGGCTAGAGAAGAGATGGAGTGATGTGGTACAGGAGGATGTGGTGTCAAGATCGGCCTCTGTGGAGGCAGTCGCCCTCCACCAACAACGGAGGGCGGAGGAGCGACGCCCACAACAACGAGCGGAGCGTCGGGTGGCTAAAGCACAGCAAGTTGTCACAGTAGGGGGCACAGGTGGTGCATCGACCACTCATCTCAGTCAGTCGACCCGTGGCACCTGGGTCTGCCCCGTGTCCTCCTGCCGGCGGGCGTTCGACACTTCACGTGGCCTCAACGTGCACCTAGCCTGGCACAAGCGTCGTGGTGACGTCACCGCCACTTAGTGGCGAATGGCGGTTGTTGTGAGAGTGTGGGTGTGTGAGTGTGTGGGTGAGTGTGTAAGTGTGTGGGTGAGTGAGTATGTGAGCGAGTGAGCGTGTGAGTGTGTGAGTGAGTGTGTGTGTTAGTGTGTGTGTGTGAGTGTGTGGGTGTGTGAGTGTGTGAATGTGTGTGCGAGTGGGGAGTGGTAGTGTAGCAGTTAGCTGCACTACCGCGACCCGGGTTCGATTCCCGCTCACGGCCACCACCACCAGTGATGATTATCTAAACTGCTCCTGGGCCTCCCCTTGGTCGACTCAGCCTCAAATGAGCACCTGGCGCGGTGTGTAGTAAACATCGCCACTGGGGAGACAAAGGTGGCCGGGCGTGGTGCTGGCCACCCACCCCCTCGTGCGCCGTGCCGGCCTTCATACAGTCGGTGATACTCGCTAACAGCACTTGCCCCTACAGTCTGTTAAGGCTACACGGGGGATCTTTGTCTTTATCTGTGTGCGGTGCAGCTGTGTGCTGTGCTGCTGTGGCTGCTGGCCTGGCTCGATGTCTCCCTCGCTCTGTGGGAGTGGAGCCACGGCCACAGGCAAGGCCTCATCTACTTCATCAGCCCCCTGCTGCAGGGCATCACCATGGTGGGTGCCTCACCCCGCTCACCCCGCTCACCCCACTCACCCACACACCCCACTCACCCCGCTCACCCCACTCACCCCACTCAGCCCACTCACCCACACACCCACACACCCCACTCACCCCACTCACCCCGCTCACCCCACTCACCCACTCACCCACACACCCCACTCACCCCACTCACCCCACTCACCCACACACCCCACTCACCCCGCTCACCCCACTCACCCCACTCACCCCGCTCACCCCGCTCACCCCACTCACCCACACACCCCCACTCACCCCGCTCACCCCACTCACCCCACTCACCCACACACCCCACTCACCCCGCTCACCCCGCTCACCCCCCTCACCCCACTCACCCACTCACCCACACACCCCACTCACCCCGCTCACCCACTCACCCCACTCACCCACTCACCCCGCTCACCCACTCACCCCACTCACCCACACACCCCACTCACCCCGCTCACCCCACTCACCCACACACCCCACTCACCCCGCTCACCCCACTCACCCCACTCACCCACACACCCCACTCACCCCGCTCACCCCGCTCACCCCACTCACCCCACTCACCCACTCACCCACACACCCCACTCACCCCGCTCACCCACTCACCCCACTCACCCACTCACCCCGCTCACCCCACTCACCCACTCACCCCGCTCACCCACTCACCCCACTCACCCACTCACCCCACTCACCCCACTCACCCCACTCACTCCGCTCACCCCACTCACCCCCACTCACCCCCACTCACTCCGCTCACCCCGCTCACCCACACACCCCGCTCACCCCACTCACCCCGCTCACCCCGCTCACCCACACACCCCGCTCACCCCACTCACCCCACTCACCCCGCTCACCCCACTCACCCACTCACCCCGCTCACCCCGCTCACCCACACACCCCACTCACCCCGCTCACCCCACTCACCCAATCACCCCACTCACCCCGCTCACCCACACACCCCACTCACCCCGCTCACCCCACTCACCCACACACCCCACTCACCCCACTCACCCCGCTCACCCGCTCACCCCGCTCACCCCGCTCACCCCACTCACCCACACACCCCACTCACCCCCACTCACCCCACTCAACTGACTCACCCACTCACCCCGCTCACCCGCTCACCCCACTCACCCACACACCCCGCTCACCCCGCTCACCCCACTCACCCACTCACCCCACTCACCCCACTCAACTGACTCACCCACTCACCCCGCTCACCCCACTCACCCACACACCCCGCTCACCCCGCTCACCCCACTCACCCCGCTCACCCCGCTCACCCCGCTCACCCACTCACCCCACTCACCCACATACCCCGCTCACCCCGCTCACCCCACTCACCCCACTCACCCACATACCCCACTCACCCACTCACCCCACTCACCCCGCTCACCCCGCTCACCCCGCTCACCCCGCTCACCCACTCACCCCACTCACCCACATACCCCGCTCACCCCGCTCACCCACTCACCCCACTCACCCACATACCCCGCTCACCCACTCACCCCACTCACCCACATACCCCGCTCACCCCGCTCACCCCGCTCACCCCGCTCACCCACACACCGCACTCACCCCACTCACCCACACACCTCACTCACCCCACTCACCCACACACCCCACTCAACTGACTCACCCGCTCACCCGACTCACCTCGCTCACCCGCTCACCCCACTCACCCACACACCCCACTCACCCCACTCACCCACACACCCCACTCAACTGACTCACCCCACTCACCCACACAACCCACTCACCCACACACCCCACTCACCCCGCTCACCCCACTCACCCCACTCACCCGCTCACCCGCTCACCCCACTCACCCGCTCACCCCACTCACCCCACTCACACACGTACACATACACGTGTGTGTGTGTGTACGTGTGTGTATGTACGTGTGTATGTACGTGTGTGTGTGAACACGTGTGTGTGTACGTGTGTGTGTGTGTGTACGTGTGTGTGTACATGTGTGTGTGTATGTGTGTGTATGTACGTGTGTGTGTACGTGTGTGTGTGTGTACCTGTGTGTGTGTACCTGTGTGTGTGTACGTGTGTGTGTGTACGTGTGTGTGTGTAAGTGTGTGTGTACGTGTGTGTGTACGTGTGTGTGTGTACGTGTGTGTGTGTGTTTACGTGTGTGTGTGTACGTGTGTGTATGTACGTGTGTGTGTGTGTACGTGTGTGTGTACGTGTGTGTGTGTGTACGTGTGTGTGTACGTGTGTGTATGTACGTGTACGTGTGTGTGTACGTGTGTGTGTGTGTGTATGTACGTGTGTGTGTGTGTGTACGTGTGTGTGTGTACGTGTGTGTGTGTGTACGTGTACGTGTGTGTGTGTACGTGTACGTGTGTGTGTGTAGCTCCTGGCGCTGCTGCTCGTCCAGAGGGAGCGCCTGTGTGGCCTTCGCTCCTCCGGACTGCTCTTCGTCTTCTGGCTGCTGCTGCTCCTCTGCTGCCTCCCGGCCCTCCGCTCCAAGGCCATGCGGGCACAGGACGCGGTGAGTGTCACCACGTGGTGAGTGTCACCACGTGGTGAGTGTCACCACGTGGTGAGTGTCACCACGTGGTGAGTGTCACCACGTGGTGAGTGTCACCACGTGGTGAGTGTCACCACGTGGTGAGTGTCACCACGTGGTGAGTGTCACCACGTGGTGAGTGTCACCACGTGGTGAGTGTCACCACGTGGTGAGTGTCACCAAGGTGCCCTGCGTAGCCCAATGGAGCAAATGTCCACTAGCGAGCAGCGAAGGTCATGCGTGGACACGTGAATGGGTGAGTGAGTGGGTGAGTGAGTGGGTGAGTGAGTGAGTGGGTGAGTGAGTGAGTGAGTGACTGAGTGGGTGAGTGCGTGAGTGAGTGAGTGACTGAGTGGGTGAGTGCGTGAGTGAGTGGGTGGATGGGTGGGTGAGTGAGTGAGTGGGTGAGTGAGTGGGTGAGTGAGTGAGTTGGTGGGTGGGTGAGTGAGTGGGTGGGTGAGTGAGTGAGTGAGTGCGTGAGTGCGTGAGTAAGTGAGTGAGTGGGTGGGTGGGTGAGTGAGTGGGTGGGTGAGTGAGTGGGTGAGTGAGTGAGTTGGTGGGTGGGTGAGTGAGTGGGTGGGTGAGTGAGTGAGTGAGTGCGTGAGTGCGTGAGTAAGTGAGTGAGTGGGTGGGTGGGTGAGTGGGTGGGTGAGTGAGTGAGCGGGTGGGTGAGTTAGTGGGTGGGTGAGTGAGTGAGTGGGTGGGTGAGCGAGTGGGTGGGTGAGTGAGTGAGTGGGTGGGTGAGTGGGTGGGTGAGTGCGTGAGTGAGTGGGTGGATGGGTGGGTGAGTGAGTGAGTGGGTGAGTGAGTGGGTGAGTGAGTGAGTTGGTGGGTGGGTGAGTGAGTGGGTGGGTGAGTGAGTGAGTGAGTGCGTGAGTGCGTGAGTAAGTGAGTGAGTGGGTGGGTGGGTGAGTGAGTGGGTGGGTGAGTGACGTGAGCGGGTGGGTGAGTGAGTGGGTGGGTGAGTGAGTGAGTGAGTGGGTGGGTGAGCGAGTGGGTGGGTGAGTGAGTGAGTGGGTGGGTGAGTGGGTGGGTGAGTGCGTGAGTGAGTGGGTGGATGGGTGGGTGAGTGAGTGAGTGGGTGAGTGAGTGAGTTGGTGGGTGGGTGAGTGAGTGGGTGGGTGAGTGAGTGAGTGAGTGCGTGAGTGCGTGAGTAAGTGAGTGAGTGGGTGGGTGGGTGAGTGAGTGGGTGGGTGAGTGAGTGAGCGGGTGGGTGAGTGAGTGGGTGGGTGAGTGAGTGAGTGAGTGGGTGGGTGAGCGAGTGGGTGGGTGAGTGAGTGAGTGGGTGGGTGGGTGGGTGAGTGAGTGAGTGGGTGGGTGGGTGAGTGCGTGAGTGAGTGCGTGAGTGACTGAGTGGGTGAGTGAGTGCGTGCACACGCGTGAGTGCGTGCATGCGTGTACCCGCGTGTGAAGGCTACGCGGGGCACCTTTGTCTGTAGGGCTACGTGCAGGACCCACTGCGGCTGGCGACGCTGAGCACGCACGGCCTGCTGGTGCTGCTGCAGCTCATCCTCTCCACGGTGCCGGACCGGCTGCCCTTCTTCACGCCCTACAGCGCCAACACGGTGTGTGCGTACGTGTGCGTGTGTGTACGTGTGTACGTGTGTGTGTGCGTGCGTGTGTGTACGTGTGCACGTGTGTGTGTGTACACGTGTGTGTGTACGTGTGTGTGTGTACGTGCATGTACGTGTGTGTGTACGTGTACGTGTGTGTGTGTACGTGTGTGTGTACGTGTGTGTGTGTGTGTACGTGTGTGTGTACGTGTGTGTGTACGTGTGTGTGTATGTGTGTGTGTACGTGTGTGTGTGTGTGTGCGTGTGTGTGTGTACGTGTGTGTGTGTACGTGTGTGTGTGTACGTGTGTGTGTACGTGTGTGTACGTGTGTGTGTGTACGTGTGTGCGTGGTGTGACGACGATAACGACGACGACGACGAAGCCACCGTGCCTGTCTCTCTCTCTCCCTCCGCCTCTCCGCCGCTCGTGATCCTCGCCTCTCTTTGCCGTTCTCAGAACCCGTGTCCGGAGTCCAACGCTCCGTTCCTCTCGCAGGTCACCTTCTGGTGGTTCACGCGGTAAGGCGCCGACGCGCGAGCCCTCGCCACCGCACGAGCCCTCTCCCCCCCCCGCCCCCCCCCGCCGTCGGAGGCCACGCGGGGGACCTTTGTCTGTGCGCCCGCCAGGATGTCGGTGCTGGGGTTCCGTCGCCCGCTGCTGCAGAGCGACTTGTGGAGCCTGGACGCGGCGCACGCCGCTCGCACGCTGGCGCCGCTGCTGCAGCGCCACTGGGCGCGGGAGCAGCGGCGGCTCCGGCACGGCAGGGGCCGTCACGGCGGCGGCGGCGGCGGCGGCGGCGGCCTGGCGGCGACGTCGACCACGACGTAACGACAGCGCCATCGACAGTGTCCATGACATCGACAACACCATCAACAACAACACCATCAACAACAACACCATCAACAACACCATCAACAACATCATCAACAACAACACCATCAACAACAACACCATCAACAACAACACCATCAACAACACCGTCAACAACAACACCGTCAACAACAACACCATTAACAACATCATCAACAACAACACCATTAACAACATCAACACCATCAACAACAACACCATCAACATCAACACCATCAACAACAACACCATCAACAACACCATCAACAACACCATCAACAACAACACCATCAACATCAACACCATCAACAACAACACCATCAACAACAACACCATCAACAACAACACCATCAACAACATCATCAACATCAACACCATTAACAACATCATCAACAACACCATCAACAACATCATCATCAACAACACCATCAACAACACCATTAACAACAACACCATCAACAACATCATCAACAACAACACCATTAACAACATCATCAACAACACCATCAACAACATCATCAACAACAACACCATCAACAACAACACCATTAACAACACCATCAACAACAACACCATTAACAACATCACCATCAACAACACCATTAACAACAACACTATTAACAACAACACCATTAACAACACCATTAACAACACCATTAACAACATCAACGCCATCAACAACAACACCATTAACAACATCATCAACAACATCATCAACAACATCATCAACAACAACACCATCAACAACAACATCATCAACAACATCAATAGCATCGAGATGAATAACATCAAGGGAAACATAATAACAACAGCATCATTAGCAACATCGATAACATCAACATCAATAATATCAACAAGAACCCCGATAGCAACATCAACAGCAACATCAACGGTCATGACATCATCGCCAACATCAATAGCGACAATATCAACATTAATGATAACAACATCAACAACATCAACATCATCAACAACAACAACATCAACATCATCAACAACAACAACATCACAGTTGCTCATAGGGACTTGACACTCAGCTCCAGGAGACCGCCTCTCAGGCTGCTACTGCTGATGATGATGATCTTGGTACTGCTGCTGCTACTGCTGCTGCTGATGATGGTGATCTTGGTACTGCTGCTGCTACTGCTGCTGATGATGATGATCTTGGTACTGCTGCTGCTACTGCTGCGGCTGATGATGATGATCTTGGTACTGCTGCTGCTACTGCTGATGATGATCTTGGTACTGCTATTGCTGCTGATGATGATCTTGGTGATGGTGGTGGTGGTGCTGATGATCTTGATGCTGCTGATGATGATGATGATCTTGGTGTTGGTGGTGGTGCTGCTGCTACTGCTGATGATCTTGGTACTGCTATTGTTGCTGCTGCTGATGATGATGATGATGATCTTGGTAGTGGTGGTGCTGCTATTGATGATGATGATGATCTTGGTACTGCTATTGCTGCTGCTGATGATGTTGATCTTGGTGATGGTGGTGCTGCTACTGGTGATGATGATCTTGGTACTGCTATTGCTGCTGATGATGATGATGATCTTGGTGGTGGTGCTGCTGCTGCTACTGATGATGATGATGATCTTGATTTTGATGCTGCTGCTGATGATGATCTTTGTAGTGGTGCTGCTGCTGTTGATGATGATGCTGATGATGATGATATTGATGCTGCTGCTGACAATGATCTTGGTCGTGGTGGTGCTGCTGCTGATGATGATGATCTTTGGTGGTGCCGTGTGTTCCCCAGGCCTGCGGGGACCGCGTCTGCGAGCGCCAGAGAAGAGGAGGAAGAGGAGGCGACGATGATGATGATGAAGAAGGAGGAGGAGGAGGTCGTCGCTCGTGCCGGCTCCTCCGCCGAGGCGTCCGTGCGTGCCCCCCGGGGTCCGTCGCTGTGGCGTGCGCTGTGCCGCTGCTTCGGGGGCTACTTCCTCGTCGGCTCCTTTCTCAAACTCTTCCAGGACCTGCTGCAGTTCATCGGCCCCATGGTGCTCAGGTATCACCGCCACCGCCACCGCCACCGCCGCCACCGCCACCACCATTGCCGCCACCACCACCACCACCATCCACCACCGCCGCCACCACCACCACCATCTACCGCCACCGCCACCCACCACCACCGCCACCACCACCCACCGCCACCCACCGCCACTGCCACCATCGCCGCCACCACCACCGCTGGCACCTTCAACAGAAGCAGTAGCGACAGCACCGTCATCATCATCGTCGTCGTCGTCATTGGCAGTCATCATTGTCAGCATCATCATCGTCAGCAGGATAAATAATAAAATGGAAGTTGTAACGAGCACTCTTTGAGAGAGAGAGAGAGGTGAATGATTCAGAGGCTTAAGAAACACAGACAAATAATCATCTTAGCAATAATTGACATTTGTAATATGGCGAATATCATACGTAGATCCCAGTTTGCCACCATGTATGGAAAGCAGGAAATAGACAGAACCAGCCTGGTACACAGCCAACACTAGGGGGTGAAGGCCAGTTCACCCACTCACTCACCCACTCACCCACTCGCTCACCCACTCCCTCACCCACTCGCTCACACACTCACCCACTTGCTCACCCACTCACCTACTCGCTTACCCATTCACCCACTCACCCACTCACCCACTCACTCACTCACCCACTCACCCACTCGCTCACCAACTCCCTCACCCACTCGCTCACTCACTTACCCACTTGCTCACCTACTCACCTACTCGCTTACCAATTCACCAACTCGCTTACCCATTCACCCACTCACCCACTCACCCACTCACTCTCTCACCCACTCACCCACTTCCTCACCCACTCACCCACTCACCCACTCGCTCACCCACTCGCTCACCCACTTGCTCACACACTCACCCACTCACTCACCCACTCACCCACTCGCTCACTTCCTCACCCACTCACCCACTCCCTCACCCACTCGCTCACTCACCCACCCGAGGTGGTGCTCGTGAAAGGCACTTGCCCCAACAGTCTGTTGAGGCTACACGGGGGATCTTTGTAATCGTTTGCGTGGGCTCCAGCCTGCTGATCCGCCTGGTGGAGAGCCCCGAGACACCGTCGTGGCAGGGATACTCGCTGGCCGTGCTGCTGCTCGTCAGCGCCTGCGTGCAGTCGCTGGTGCTGCAGCAGCACATGCACGTGTGCACCGTGACGGGCATACGGACACGCTCCGCCCTCACTGCCCTCGTCTACAACAAGGTGCGCACACGTACACGCGCGTACACGCACGCGTACACACACACGTACACGCGCGTACACACACGCGTACACACACGTGCGTATACACACACACGTACACGCACGTACACACACGCGTACACACACACACACACGTACACGCACGTACACACACACGCACACGTACACACACGTACACGCACGTACACGTGCGTATACACACACACGTACACGCACGTACACACACGCGTACACGCACGTACACATACGCGTACACACACGCGTACACACACACGTACACACACACGTACACACACGTACACGCACGTACACGCATGTACACACGCGCATACACATGCATACACACACACGTACACACACGTACACGCGCGTATACACACACGTACACACGCGTACACACACACGTACACACACGTACACGCGCATACACACATACAACAACAACCGCCATTCGCCACTAAGCGGCGGTGATGTCACCACGACGCTTGTGCCAGGCTATGTGCACCCTGAGGCCACGTGCAGTGTCGAACGCCCGCTGGCAGGAGGTCACGGGGCAGACCCAGGTGCCACTGGTCGACTGACTGAGATGACTGGCTGATGCACCACCTGTGCCCCCTACTGTGCCAACCTGCTGTGCTTTAGCCACCCGGCGCTCCGCTCGTTGTTGTGAGCGTCGCTCCTCCGCCCTCCGTTGTTGCTGGAGGGCGACTGCCTCCAACTTCCCAGCAGCAGCAGCAGCAGCGTCCTTCACGAGCCGCCGCCCGGCCGAGTTGGGGCCACCATAGTCATAGTCATGGTGCCATCATGGAGCCACCGTGGAGCCATCATGGAGCCACCGTGGTGCCATCATGGAGCCACCGTGGTGCCATCATGGAGCCACCGTGGAGCCACCATGGAGCCACCATGGTGGCTCCATGGTGGCTCCATGGTGTGGCCATGGAGCTACCATGGTGACACCATGGAGCCACCATAGTCATGGTGGCTCCATGGCGACACCGTGGAGCCATCATGGAGCCACCGTGGAGCCGCCTCCGCGATGCTTTCCGGTTTTTCCGTCCCCGCAGTCTCTGGTGATGTCCAACGCGGCGAAGAAGTCGTCGACGGTGGGGGAGATCGTCAACCTCGTGGCCGTGGACGCGCAGAAGTTTAACGAGCTCCCCATCTACCTCAACATGCTGTGGTCCTCCCCGTTCCAGATCGTTCTGGCCATGTACTTCCTATGGCAGGTGAGGGCCGATGGACCGCGTCGTCGCTCACCGTGGGGGGGGTGGTGGTGGCTGGGAGTGGCTACAAACCCCCGGCTGCCGCTCAAGGCCCACCGCCGGTGACGATTACAATGATCTGATTGGCTCGGTTGGCTAGGTACGGCGCGAAAGAAGTTGAGCGTACGTACGTTCCCATAGATCGACTCAAACGAGTACCTGGTGCGTTGCGTAACAACATCACCACCGGGGAGACAAAGGCGGCCGGGCGCGGTGCTGGCCAGCCGCCCCCTCGTGTGCCGCAGTGCCGTCCTGTACAGGCGCTCGCTGACAGCACTTGCCCCAACAACTCTGTTAAGGCTACGCGGGGGATCTTCGTCTTTGTTCGTGTGACAGACGCTCGGTCCGTCGGTCATGGCTGGAGTGGCCATCATGATTCTGCTGATCCCCGTCAACGGCTTCATCGCAGTGAAAACCAGAAGCTTGCAGGTACCCTCGCTGAGACGATGATGGCCGTGCAGTTGATCTTGTTGAAGCCGATGCTGCTGCTGATGCTGCTGCTGCTATTTGTGGTGACGCTGGTGGTGACTGTGCTTGTGCGTGAGTTGACGACGACGCCGACGATGTTGACGATGACGACGCCGTTGATGTTGACGACAATGGTGGCGACGATGACGACGGCGATGACGACGATGACCACGACGACGACGACGACGACGACTACGATGATGACGCCCGATTCTCCCCCTGGCAGACGGAGCAAATGAAGCTGAAGGACCGCCGCGTGAAGCTCATGAACGAGATGCTGGGAGGCATCAAGGTGCTGAAGCTGTACGCCTGGGAGCTCTCCTTCCAGGCCCAGGTGCTCGAGATCAGGAAGCAGGAGCTGAGCACCCTGCGCAAGATGGCCTTCCTCAGCGCCCTCTCCATCTTCTGCTGGGCCTGCGCACCCTTCCTGGTACGCGTTTCCCGGCACGCCCTTCCTGGTACACCCTTCCCGGCACGCCCTTCCCGGCACGCCCTTCCCGGCAGACCCTTCCTGGCATGCCCTACTGAGCTACATAGCTTTTTTTTCAGAAGCGACCTGGCCATCACAAATGATAGCTCAACGAAGTGGTTTATCATCATCACCATCATCACGTGATGGTGGTGATGATGATAAACCAAATACTCTCAGCGCGTGACGATTCTAAATGCTGGAGGGGAAAAGTTCTGACCCCGTGCCCCTGACTGGACAAACGAAAAAACGAGCGAGCGAATGAACGAGCGAGCGAATGAACGAGCGAGCGAATGAATGAACGAATGAACGAGCGAACGAAAGAACGAGCGAGCGAAAGTACGAGCGAGCGAAAGTACGAGCGAGTGAAAGAACGAGCAAGCGAATGAACGAATGAACGAGCGAGTGAACGAGCGAACGAATGAACGAGCGAACGAATGAGCGAGCGAGCGAACAAACGAGCGAGCGAGCGAACAAACGGACGAGTGAACGAATGAACGAGCGAGCGAATGAACGAGCGAGCGAATGAACAACAGTATTCTGCAGGCGCCAGCCGCTCACCCCGACACTTTTAGTTTTGCTGTCCTCCCCCCCCTCCCCCGCACTCCGGCATCGCCTGCGACCGGCGCGCTTGTCCGCGTACGGCGGTGCGGCGCGGGGGAGAGTTGGACGCGCGCGAGGCTCACCGGGCGGGGTGTCGGCGCGCAGGTGGCGCTCACCACGTTCGGCGTCTACGTGTCGGTGGACGCGCGCAACGTGCTGAGCGCCGAGAAGGCGTTCGTGTCGCTCTCGCTCTTCAACATCCTGCGCTTCCCCCTCAACCTGCTGCCCCTCGTCATCTCAAACCTCGTGCAGGTACGGCGCGGACGCGCTGGGGGAGTCGCGTGTGTGGGTGCGTGCGTGCGTGCGTAGGTACATACACACAGACGGATAGATTGTGCGTGCATGCTTACGTACGTACGTATACACGAGGGCGCACACACAATGACAACGTGCAAGATAGGTGACACGCACACGCGCCGATACATGCATGCACGCGAGGCAAAGGTTAGCCTTCATGGAATGTTGGGGCAAGCGCTGTTAGCGAGTCGCACCTGTGAAGGCCGGCACGGCACACGAGGGGGTGGGGGGGGTTGCCAGCACCGCGCCCGGCCGCCTTTGTCTCCCTAGTGACGATGTTTACACACCGCACCAGGTAACTAATTTGAGGCTGAGTCGACCTAGGGGAGGCCCATGACCGGTTTGTGTAATCGTCACCGGTGCCGGCCGTGAGCGGGAATCGAACTCGGGCCGGCGGGTTGGTGGCGCGCGGTGTGGCGCTAAGCGCGGCACCACCGCTCCCCACAGACGCACGCGGTCACACACAAATACAAGTGAACTCCAGTGAACCTTGATCTGAAGCTTTCGTGACTGCAGCAATCCTTACTCTCTGGTTCTTTCGGTAAAGTCACCACGTGGGTAGGAAACTAAAGAAGAGATCACGTCGCTTCGATCGCAACAACAAGCAATCGTCACAACGGCACGCTTCTCCATTTATACTTTCACGCGATCTGACCCAGAAACCTTTATTAAGAACGACTACCGGTCGCGAAAGCCTTCTACGTGTTGGGCTGATGAACTCGCTGGTGAACAGAGTTGGGAGGCCAGGTCGCGTAGCGACGCCAACCGCTGCGGCAGTCTGGAGTCTCGGCGACGCTCCGCGTGGTAGCCCGCCAAAGGCCCTGCTCGGGGACCTTCAGAGAGTAGGGCACGTGCACCCAGCCTGGCACGGGCCGACACGGGCCCTGTGACTCTGCTGGAACCCCTCCCCCCCCACCCCGGGTGAGACCAGGCCAGCGTGTCCCTCAAGAGGCTGCAGGCCTTCCTGTCCCATGAGGAATTGGATCCCAGCAACGTGGAGCGCAACAACGTGGAGCCCGGAGGTGAGAGATGCCGAGGGGCACCGGGAGGGTGCTGAGACTCAGGGCTCCAGGAGACCGGGTCTCAGGGTCTTGAGACTCGGGGCTCCAGGAGACCGGGTCTCAGGGCCTTGTGACTCGGATCCAGGAGACCGGGTCTCAGGGTCTTGAGACTCCGCTCCAGGAGACCGGGTCTCAGGGTCTTGAGACTCGGATCCAGGAGACCGGATCTCAGGGTCTTGAGACTCTGCTCCAGGAGACCGGGTCTCAGGGTCTTGAGACTCCGCTCCAGGAGACCCGGTCTCAGTGTCTTGAGACTCTGCTCCAGGAGACCGGGTCTCAGGGTCTTGAGACTCCGCTCCAGGAGACCGGGTCTCAGGGTCTTGAGACTCTGCTCCAGGAGACCGGATCTCAGGGTCTTGAGACTCTGCTCCAGGAGACCGGGTCTCAGGGTCTTGAGACTCGGCTCCAGGAGACCGGGTCTCAGGGTCTTGTGACTCGGGGCTCAAGGAGACCGGGTCTCAGGGTGCTGAGACTCTCTGAATGTGTGTGCGTCTCTCCGTGCAGTGAGCATCAGCATCACGAATGGGACGTTCAAGTGGGATCGGTGCGATGCCCCGGTCTTACACAAGTAAGCAGCAGCATCAGACAGCAACGCCTGCTGCAGCAGCAGCAGCAGCGCCTGCTGCAGCAGCATCAGACAGCAGCGCCTGCTGCAGCTGCAGCAGCAGCAGCATTGTCACTCGCGTCAACTGCGGCGTTGAGTCTAAAACGAAACTATTGAAACAACTTTTTATTTTACCTGGTAAGGTCCACCGAGCTGCATGGCTCTTGTTCAGAAGCGACCTGACCACAAGTGATAGCCCAGTGAAGTGGCTCATCACGATGTGGAAATTTATAGCAGAAGCCAAATACTCTGAACGCACACCGATTATAAATGGGAGAGAGACACGCAGACTCCAAATATACAGCAGCAGCAGCAGGCATCAGGGTTGGGATCGAACCCACGACCTCCTGCGTACCAGGCAAAGGAGTTAACATCTCGTAGCCAGCGTGGCCACGCCCGAGTCAAGCCGGGGTGCCGGGTGACCGCTGTTTTAGCGACGGCAATTTGACTCGCATGCGGTGACTTCGTGCTGGGATGCGGACAAAGCAGCGGAAGCTTGTCGTTGACGTGGGGGTCGTGTCGCGACGCACGCACCGCTGTGTGTGTGCGCGTGTGTCTACGCTGTGCGTGCGTGATGTGTGTGCACGTGATGTGTGTCTACGCTGTGCGTGCGTGCTGTGTGTGTGCGCGTGATGTGTGTCTATGCTGTGCGTGCGTGCGTGCTGTGTGCGCGTGATGTGTGTGTGCTGTGTGCGTGTGTCTACGCTGTGCGTGCGTGATGTGTGTGCGTGCTGTGTGTGTGCTGTGTGCGTGTGTCTACGCTGTGCGTGCGTGATGTGTGTGCGCGTGTGTCTACGCTGTGCGTGCGTGCGTGCTGTGTGTGTGCTGTGTGCGTGTGTCTACACTGTGCGTGCGTGCTGTGTGCACGTGATGTGTGTGCGTGATGTGTGCGTGTGTCTACGCTGTGTGATGTGATGCGTGCTGTGTGCGTGCTGTGTGTGATGTGTGTGTGTGATGTGTATGTGATGTGATGTGTGTGTGATGTGTGTGTGATGTGTGTGTGATGTGTGTGTGATGTGTGTGTGATGTGTGTGTGTGATGTGTGTGTGTGATGTGTGTGTGTGATGTGTGTGTGTGCTGCACGTGCCACTTGTGCGTCTGGCAGCATCGCGCTGCGCGTGCCCGAGGGCTCGCTGGTGGCGGTGGTCGGGGACGTGGGCAGCGGGAAGTCCTCGCTCATCTCCGCAATCCTCGGGGAGATGGAGCTGGTGGAGGGCCGCGTCTCCGTGCGGGTGAGCCGAGCGGACAGTTGGGGGGGGAGGGTGGGGGGGGGGGTGCGGGGAGGGGGGCGGGGGGGGTAGAGACAACTAAATGAAACATGTTTTGCGAGTTTGGTTTTGGCTCCCTGTCTTTAACCCGCGTGTGGCCCCCGCTTCTGTGGGGCGGCGAGCCCCAAATCGTCCCCCCCCCCCCCTTCCCTGGGCCCTGTCGCGCGTCGGGGGTTGGGGGGGGGGGGCGCTCGCGTTGATTTGCACAAAAAACAAAATTTCGTTTCGGGCGACCGTTTCCCGCTCGAGTTATTTCCACCTCCGCGGCCGCCGTGCAGGGCTCCGTGGCCTACGTGCCGCAGCAGGCCTGGATCCAGAGCGGCACCGTCCGCAGCAACGTGCTCTTTGGGCGCGACATGGACGAGGCCCGCTACCGCCACGTGCTGGACACGTGCGCGCTGCTGCCGGACCTCGAGTTGCTGGCGGGAGGGGACGAGACGGAGATCGGAGAGAAGGTTCTCCTCCTCCTCCTCCTCCGCCCTCCTCCCCCTCCTCCCCCCTCCTCCTCCTCCCCCTCCTCCTCCTCCCCCTCCTCCTCCTCCTCCTCCCCCTCCCTCCTCCTCCTCCTCCCCCTCCTCCTCCTTCCCCCTCCTCCTCCCTCCTCCCTCGTCCTCCTCCTCCCTCCCTCCTCCCTCCTCCCTCCCCCTCCTCCTCCCTCCGCCTCCCTCCTCATCCTCCCCCTCCTCCCTCCTCCCTCCCTCCCCCTCCTCCCTCCCCCTCCTCCCCCCTCCTCCCCCTCCTCCCCCTCCTCCTCCCCCTCCTCCCCCTCCTCCTCCCTCCCCCTCCTCCCTCCTCCTCCCTCCTCCTCCCTCCTCCTCCCTCCCCTTCCGCCGACGACTCTGCCACCGCGTGCCAACCGTGTGCCACTCCACCGCCTCTGCGTGCCACTCCCTCCACCGCCACCACGTGCCACCCCACCCATCCACCGCATGTCACTCCCCTTCCTCGTGATCCTTGTTTTGGTTTCATTCCGAGAGGCAGGTAACGCCGATCGTGTGTGTGTATCTGTGTGTGTGTGTATCTGTGTGTGTGTGTGTATCTCCGTGTGTGTGTGTATATATCTGTGTGTGTGTGTATATCTGTGTGTGTGTGTATCTGTGTGTGTGTGTGTATCTGTGTGTGTGTAGGTGTGTGCATCTGTGTGTGTGTGTGTGTGTATCTGTGTGTGTATCTGTGTGTGTCTCCGTGTGTGTGTGTGTATCTGTGTGTGTGTGTGTGTATCTGTGTGTGTGTGTGTATCTGTGTGTGTGTATCTGTGTGTGTGTGTATCTGTGTGTGTGTGTATCTGTGTGTGTGTATCTGTGTGTGTGTGTCTCCGTGTGTGTGTCTGTGTGTATCTGTGTGTGTGTGTATCTGTGTGTGTGTGTGTATCTGTGTGTGTATCTGTGTGTGTGTCTCCGTGTGTGTGTATCTGTGTGTGTGTCTCCGTGTGTGTGTATCTGTGTGTGTGTATCTGTGTGTGTGTATCCGTGTGTGTGTGTATCTGTGTGTGTGTATCTGTGTGTGTGTATCTGTGTGTTTGTATCTGTGTGTGTGTATCTGTGTGTGTGTGTATCTGTGTGTGTGTGTCTCCGTGTGTGTGTCTGTGTGTATCTGTGTGTGTGTGTATCTGTGTGTGTGTGTGTATCTGTGTGTGTGTATCTCCGTGTGTGTGTGTGTGTGTCTCCGTGTGTGTGTCTGTGTGTGTGTCTCTGTGTGTGTGTGTATCTCCGTGTGTGTGTGTGTATCTGTGTGTATCTCCGTGTGTGTGTGTGTGTCTCCGTGTGTGTGTCTGTGTGTGTGTCTCCGTGTGTGTGTATCTGTGTGTGTGTATCTGTGTGTCTATGACGTCTCTTGGCCAAACCCCAATTGGCGGAGCCAGGAGATTGAATACCTACCCTCGGGGCTACTCCAGAAACAACGAAAAGCCACTACGGGTGGCCACGTGGAATGTTCGAACGCTCACTGCAGAGGAGAGGCTGCCACTCCTCTGTCGGGAGCTGGACCGGTACCGCCTGGATCTATGCGGCATTCAGGAGGTCCGGTGGACCGGCTCTGGCTCCTGCCATCATGAGGGGTGGACAGTCCTCTACTCGGGGCAGCAGACTGCCAAACAACAGGGTGTGGGTCTTCTTTTGAACAAAAGAATGAAGGGGGCGTGGGCGCGTGGCGGTGAGGTGTGGGAAGCTGTAAGCCCCAGGCTACTTTGGGCTCGCCTTCCCATCAACCGGGGGCGAGGAATGGTGGTCGTGGTTACTTATGCCCCCACCGAAGATGAACATCCGTGCAGGGATGCAGGCAAAGCCAATGAGTCAGATGCCTTCTATGACCTCCTGTCACAGGTGCTGGCTAAAGTGGCCCCTCGGGATAGAGTCATCATGTTGGGTGACTTCAATGCCCGAGTTGGTCATGATACTGGCACCTGGTCTGGAGTGATTGGAGGGCATGGGCCAGATTAGCTCAATAACAACGGTAGGAGGCTGCTAGATTTTTGTGCAGCCCATGGGCTTGTAATTACCAACACGCTGTTCCGGCATCGGCGCATCCACACAACATCATGGATGCATGCCGGGTCCAAGCAAGAACATCTGCTGGACTACATAGTGACGGACCAGCGAATGCGAGCCCATGTCCTTGACACCAGGACCTACCGTGGAGCTGATCTGCCCTCTGACCATCGACTAGTCATCTGTAAGATGCGCCTGCCATTCTTCCACTCCGGTGGTGGGTGTACACCCAGGACCCCATTCCAACCTAAAGTGGCCTGGTCTCAGTTAGCTGATGAAAGTTGCAAGCGAGAATTTCATCATCGCTTGCGGCTGGGGTTGGCATCGTCCCCCACTTCTCCTGATGTCGAGGGTAAATGGGCGAGGTTTAGGACTGTGACTCATGCAGCTGCAATGGCTGCTTTGGGTATGCGGTCCACTGTCATCGGCTACAGAATCCCACGTCAGAGAATGAGGAGGCTTACCGCAGCCTTCGCTCGGAGGTTCGGAGAGCCGTGAGGCGCTGCAAGGATGGGTGGTGGTCGCGGGTTGCTGAGGAGATGGAGTCTGCCTCAGTGGCCCGTGATCACAAATCTCTATTTAACTCCATCAAAAAAGTAACCTGCAGCGCCACACCTATTACCATCATTAGGGGAAAAAACGGTGATCCAATCTCCGACCCCCAGGAACAGGTTTGCAGATTTGCTGAGCATTTCTGTGAGGTCCTGGGGGAGGGAAAATCCCTCAGCCAGGAAAACATCGTGGCACAAAGTGAGGATGACCCTGCTGAGGCTGCGGTGCCTCAAATATTGGAAGAAGTCACCCCCTGTGAGTGGCTGGCTGAGGTGCAATCTGCTGAGGAAGTATTGAAGGCGATCCGGAGTCTGAGACCAGGAAAGGCAGTGGGCAGAGATGATCTCCCAAGCGAAATGCTGAGGGAGGGTGGCGTTTGTGCACAGACTGCCCTATATGACATCATAACAACAGTCTGGACCACTGGACGGGTTCCGCAGGATTGGAAGGATGCCCTGGTGGTCCCCCTTCTTAAAAAGGGGGACCACCAGACTGTAACAACTACAGGGGCATCTCACTCCTCAGTGTGCCGGGAAAGGTCCTGGCAAGGATTATTCAGCATCGCCTTGCCAGGCACGCTGAGGAGAGGCTTGCGGAGCCCCAATGCGGTTTCAGGAAAGGGCGGGTCCTGCACAGATGCCATATTTTCTGTCCGTCTGCTACAGCAGAGGTGTAGGGAATTCCAACAAGACCTACATCTCTGCTTTATTGACCTGGTCAAGGCCTATGATACCATCAGTAGGCCTGGGCTCTGGGTCGTTCTTCGTGCTTTTGGAGTACCTGACCCTCTGCTCACGATCATTAAGGACCTTCATGATGGTGAGCGGGCCCGGGTAAAACTACGTGGCCGGGAGTCAGAGCCATTCCTTGTACACCTTGGGGTGCGACAGGGATGTCCTCTGGCTCCCACATTATTTAACATCTATTTTGACCACGTAGTTCGTGAAGCCTTCAATAGCTGTACCGGGGGAATCTCCATATGGTACAGATATAATGGGAGGCTAATCGATGCCCGGGTGCGGTCAAGGGATGGCTCGCTATTGCTCAACCACGTTATGTATGCTGATGATTTGGTAATAGCTGCTCAGTCAGAGGAGGAGTTGGAGACGCTGCTGCTGAGACTGGAGCGTGCCACTAAGAGGTGGGGCCTTACCATCAGCCCCACCAAAACTAAGCACCTGCCTGGGTATTTTGTACCATCGGACACTCCACCCCCACAACTCCCAATCGGTGATGGGGCAGTTGTGGAGAGAGTGGAGAGTTTCCCATACCTGGGTAGTGTGCTTATGACTGGCTCCAGTTTAACTGCAGAGGTCTCACTCCGAATCAGTCGAGCGGCAATATCTTTTCATCGGTTGCGTAACGCTGTGTGGAAGCTACCTGGTCTGTCGCTCCGCACTAAGCTTCAGGTCTTCTCAGCCACGGTCATTCCCTCCCTTCTCTACGCTTGCGAAACGTGGACCCCCCTAATGGAACATCTTCGCCGGTTAGAAACATTTAGGCTGGCCTGCCTACGATCCATCCTGGGTTTAACCAGACTGGATTGTGTGAGGAGCTCACAAATCCTTGAAAGATCTGGGCAGGGTCCCATTGGTGAGCTCCTCCGGCAGGCAAGGCTGCGATGGCTGGGTCATGTAGCCTGCATGCCCAGCCACCGCATGCCGAAACAGCTTTTGTTTGGCCAGATCGAGGGGGCTAAACGGGCGCGGCACGGGCTAGAGAAGAGATGGAGTGATGTGGTACAGGAGGACGTGGAGCTGAGTGGACTTGCCGATGACTGGTACCAGCGGTGTCAAGATCGGCCTCTGTGGAGGAGGCTCGTGAAGGATGCTACTGGGCAGTTGGAGGCAGTCGCCCTCCAACAACAACGGAGGGCGGAGGAGCGACGCTCAGAACAACGAGCGGAGCGCCGGGTGGCTAAAGCACAGCAGGTTGGCACAGTAGGGGGCACAGGTGGTGCATCAGCCAGTCATCTCAGTCAGTCGACCCGTGGCACCTGGGTCTGCCCCGTGACCTCCTGCCAGCGGGCGTTCGACACTTCACGTGGCCTCATGGTGCACATAGCCTGGCACAAGCGTCGTGGTGACGTCACCGTCACTTAGTGGCGAATGGCGTTTGTTGTTTGTTGTTGTTGTTGTGTGTGTGTGTGTATCTGTGTGTGTGTCTCCGTGTGTGTGTATCTGTGTGTGTGTATGTGTGTGTGTGTATCTGTGTGTGTGTCTGTGTGTGTGTGTATCTGTGTGTGTGTATCTGTGTGTGTGTGTATCTCCGTGTGTGTATGTGTGTGTGTGCATCTGTGTGTGTGTCTGTGTGTGTGTGTGTATCTGTGTGTGTGTGTATCTCCGTGTGTGTGTATCTGTGTGTGTATCTCCGTGTGTGTGTGTGTGTGTCTCTGTGTGTGTGTCGGTGTGTGTGTTTCCGTGTGTGTGTGTGTATCTCAGTGTGTGTGTGTCTCCGTGTGTGTGTATCTCCGTGTGTGTGTGTATATGTGTGTGTGTATCTGTGTGTGTATCTCAGTGTGTGTGTATCTGTGTGTGTGTATCTCAGTGTGTGTGTATCTGTGTGTGTGTATCTGTGTGTGTGTATCTCAGTGTGTGTATCTTGGGGGAGCGATAGTGTAGCGGTTAGCGCGCTGCGCTATGAACCTGGCGACCCCGGTTCGATTCCCGCTCACGGCCAACACCAGTGACGATTATCTGAACCGGTCCCGGGCCTCCCCTAGGTCGACTCAGCCTCAAATGAGTACCTGGTGCGGTGTGTAAACATTGCCACTGGGGAGACAAAGGCGGTCGGGCGTGGTGCTGGCCACCCACCCCCTCGTGTACCGTTCCGGCCTTCATAGGTGCTCGCTAACAGCACTTGCCCCAACAGTCTGTTAAGGCTATATGGGGGATCTTTGTCTTTGTTTGTGTATCTCAGTGTGTGTGTATCTGCGTGTGTGTATCTGTGTGTGTGTATCTGTGTGTGTGTGTATCTCAGTGTGTGTGTATCTGCGTGTGTGTATCTGTGTGTGTGTATCTGTGTGTGTGTGTATCTCCGCGTGTATCTCCCGCAGGGGATCAACTTGTCGGGGGGCCAGCGCCAGCGCGTGTCGCTGGCGCGTGCCGCCTACGGAGCGCAATCCGCGTCGCTGCTGCTGCTGGACGACCCCCTCTCCGCCGTCGACGCGCACGTGGGCAGCAGCCTCTTCCGGCGCGTCGTGGCCCACGGGGGGCTGCTGCACGGCAAGGTGGGGGGCGGGGGCGGGGGCGGGGGGCGGAGCGACGCTCGCGGCGACGCGCGGCGAGTTGGCGCGGCCGGGGGCGCCGGCGGCGCATCCGTCGGCCGTCTCGGCCGGCCGACTCCACGGCAGGGAGACGCGCGAACTCGGGCGCCGGGGTCGGGGCAGAACCGGCGACCTCCCACGTCGCCGGCGAGGCGGCTGACGCCTGTCGCGTGCACGCCCCCCCCCCCCCCCCCCCCCCCCCCCCCACGCCGCAGACGCGCGTGCTGGTGACCCACGCCGTGGGCGTGCTGCCCTCCGTCGACCTCATCGTCGTGCTGTCCGGCGGCCGCGTCACGGAGTGCGGCTCCCACTCCGAGCTGCTGGCCCGCGACGGCGCCTTCGCCGAGTTCCTGCGCAGGCACGGCCAAGGCGAGTCGCGGTCCCGCTCACCCTCGCTCGCGGCCGAACCCAGAGACTAGCCCTGGCCCTAGCGCGGAGTCTGATCCAGAGTCTAGCCCTGGCCCTAGCGCGGAGTCTGATCCAGAGACTAGCCCTGGCCCTAGCGCGGAGTCTGATCCAGAGTCTAGCCCTGGCCCTAGCGCGGAGTCTGATCCAGAGTCTAGCCCTGGCCCTAGCGCGGAGTCTGATCCAGAGACTAGCCCTGGCCCTAGCGCGGAGTCTGATCCAGAGTCTAGCCCTGGCCCTAGCGCGGAGTCTGATCCAGAGTCTAGCCCTGGCCCTAGCGCGGAGTCTGATCCAGAGTCTAGCCCTGGCCCTAGCGCGGAGTCTGATCCAGAGTCTAGCCCTGGCCCTAGCGCGGAGTCTGACCGTAGCCCTGGGTCTGAGCTTCAGCCTAACCCAAAACTCGACAAATCAACCCCGAACTTGGCCCTAACCCGAACTCTGAGCTGTTAGTACGTTGTTCCTGGCCCGGAACCTAACATCCAACCACCCAACACAACCACAACACCCAACACTCCCCCCTCTCCCCCCCACGTGACTCCACACCGAGCCCCCTGCCCCCCCCCACGTGACTCCACACCGAGTCCCCTGCTCCCCCCCCCCCACGTGACTCTTCACCGAGTCCCCTGCTCCCCCCCCTCCCCCACGTGACTCTTCACCGAGTCCCCTGCTCCCCGTTTCCCCGCCCCACAGAACCGACCGCGGCTCCTGACAACGATAGCGCCACCAACGCCACCACCGCCTCCACCACCACCGCCACCACCGCCACTACCGCCACCACCACCGGCGCCACCACCGGCGCCACCACCGCCACCACCACCGGCGCCACCACCGGCGCCACCACCGCCACCGGCGCCACCACCGGCGCCAGCGCGCCGCCGGACGTGCGCAGGTACCGCCCAGAGCCGTCGCCGCACCGGCCTGCCCAGCTCCCTGCTGCTGATGCTGATGATGCTGTTGTTGCTGCTGCTGATGATGATGATGCTGCTGCTACTGATGACGCTGTTTCTGCTGCCGATGATGCTGATGATGGTGACACTGAAGATGACACTGATGATGATGCTGCTGCTGATGATGATGCTGTTTCTGCTGCCGATGATGCTTATGATGATGATGACACTGAAGATGACACTGAAGATGACACTGATGATGCTGTTGATGCTGATGATGATGCTGTTGCTGCTGCTGCTGCTGATGATGATGCTGATGATGATGATGATGCTGCTGCTGCTGATGATGATGCTGATGATGCTGCTGATGATGATGATGATGCTGCTGCTGCTGATGATGATGATGATGTTAATGATGATGATGATGTTCACCTTGCATGTCCGTCTCAGCCTGAAGTCGCAGACCTCGTCGGGCGGCCGGTCGGACAACGAGGTGGGCGAGGAGGTGAAGGAACGCCTGGTGCAAGACGAGAAGATGGAGACTGGCAGAGTAGGGACGACAACAACACCACAACAACACAACAACACAACAACAACACAACAACACCACAACAACACCACAACAACACAACAACACCACAACAATACCACAACAACAACAACACAACACCACAACAACAACACAACAACAACACAACACCACAACAACACAACAACACCACAACAATACCACAACAACAACAACACAACACCACAACAACAACACAACAACACAACAACAACACAACACCACAACAACACAACAACACCACAACAACAACACAACAACACCACAACAACAACACCACAACAACACAACAACAACAACACCACAACAACAACACAACAACACCACAACAACACAACAACACAACAACACCACAACAACAACACAACAACAACACCACAACAACACCACAACAACACCACAACAACACCACAATAACAACACCACAACAACACCACAACAACACAACAACAACACAACAACACCACAACAACAACACAACAGCAACACCACAACAACACCACAACAACAACACCACAACACAACACCACAACAACACAACACCACCACAACACCACCACAACAACAACACCACAACACAACACCACAACAACACCACAACAACAACACAACAACACCACAACACCACAACAACACAACAACACCACAACAACAACACAACAACAACACCACAACAACACAACAACACCACAACAACAACACAACAACACCACAACACCACAACAACAACACAACAACAACACCACAACAATACCACAGCAACAACACAACAACACAACAACACCACAACACCACAACAACAACACAACAACACCACAACACCACCACAACAACACCACAACAACACCACAACAACAACACCACAACAACAACACAACAACACCACAACAACAACACAACAACACCACAACAACAACACCACTACAACAACACCACAACAACAACACCACCACAACAACAACACAACACAACAACACAACAACAACACCACCACAACAACACCACAACAACACCACAACAACACCACAACACCACAACAACACCACAATAACAACACCACAACACCACAACAACACCACAACAACACAACAACACCACAACAACACAACAACAACAACAACACCACAACACCACAACAACACAACAACACCACAACAACACAACAACACCACAACAACACAACACCACAACAACAACACAGACAAAGGCCCCCCTTGTAGCCCGCATGAGGCTATTGGGGCAAGGGCTGTTAGCGAGTAGCGTGGTGCTGCCCACCCACCCACTTGCCCCTACAGCCTGTTAAGGCTACACGGGGGATCTTTGTCTTTGCAGCGGTTAGCACACCATGCTACGAACCCGGCGACCCAAGTTCGATTCCCGCTCACCAAACACCGGTGACGATTATCGGTCCTGGGCCTCCCCTAGGGTGCCTCAGCCGCAAACGAGCACCTGGTGCGGTGTGTAGTAAACATCGCCACTGGGGAGACAAAGGCGGCCGGGCGCGGTGCTGGCCACCCACCCCCTCGTGCGCCGCAGCGCCGGCCTTCACAGGTGCTGCTCGCTGGCAGCACTCGCCCCTACGGCCTGTTGAGGCTACACGAGTGGGTGGGGCCCCTTTGCCTTTGTGCGCGCGTGCGTGCGTAGGTGAGCTTGGCGGTGTACCAGCAGTACGGGCGCGCTGTGGGGGCCCCGCTGGCGCTGTGCGTGGCGCTGCTGTACGCGCTGCAGGGCGCCGCCACCGTGGGCCAGGGCGTGTGGCTGAGCGACTGGACGGGCGACGCCGTGGTGAACGGCACGCAGGGCGGCACCGGGCCCCGGCTCGCCGTCTACGCGGCGCTCGGATTCACGCAGGGCGAGCGGGCGCACGCACGCACGCACGCACGCACGCAGAGACAAAGGTCCCCCGTGTAGCCTGTGACACACTGACGGGGCAAGTGCTGTTGGCGGGCACCTTTGAAGGCCCGGAACGGCACACGAGGGGGTGGGTGGCCAGCACCACGCCCGGCCGCCTTTGTCTCCCTAGTGGCGATGTTTAAGCACCACACCAGGTACTCGTTTGAGGCTGAGTCGACCTAGGGGAGGCAAAGGAGCCGGTTTAAATAATCGTCACCGGTGTTGGCCGTGAGCGTAAATGGAACTCGGGTCGCCGGGTTCGTAGCGGAGCGTAGCGCTAACCGCTCCCCCACCGCTCCCCCACCGCTCCCCCACACGCATGCACACACAAAGACGGCTGGAGTCAGACTCTGTATTTCGCCTGGAGGAGGAATCCGATGAGTTTTAAAGCTCTTTGTTCACGGATGTCCAGTAGGGGCACGGGGGGCTTGGGACGTTACAACAAACACAATAATCTGAATATTAGTTACAACACACCGCTGTGCTGTACTAGTCACTAATTAGCACGTTTTGTGCACGTGACAAACCTTACTAATTGTCTGTGTCGGGTGCTGGTGGGTTAACGGCACTTTTATATTTACGCCATCAACCCGTTAAACATTTATTATGAATACGAGTTAAACACATTCAGCTTGGGTGACCCCAATGTGACCCCGGTGTGTGACCCCACGTGCCCCCCACGTTACCCCCACGTGACCCCGGTGTGTGACCCCCACGTGACCCCGGTGTATGACCCCCACGTGACCCCGCGTGGTGCGCCTTGAGGCCGTCACTCGAAGCGTGGGAGGCTCTCGGCAGGAGGAGGTCACGGGACAGACCCAAGCGCCACCACCACCACCACCGTCGCCACCACCACCACCACCACCGTCACCACCACCGTCACCACCGCCACCACCACCACCACCACTGCCACCACCACTGCCACCACCACCACCATCACCGCCACCACCACCACCGTCGCCACCACCGCCACCACCACCCCACGTGACACCCCGGGCATGACCTCGGCGTACCCACCCCACGTGACCCCGGCGTGACCCCCCCCCCCCCGCACGTGACCTCTCGTGACCCAGGCCTCATGGTGCTGCTCTACATCGTGCTGGGCAGGGGCGTGGGGATGCTGCGCGCCTCCAAGCGCCTCCACGCCGACGCCCTCATACGCGTGCTCCGCTCGCCGGCGCGGTTCTTCGAGGCCACCCCCACCGGTGAGCGCCCGGCGACGAGCCAAAGGCGAAGGTCCCCCCCCCACCGTGTAGCCTCAACAGACCGTTGGGGCAAGTGCCGTCCGCGAGTGGCACCACCTATAAGGGGGGGGGGGGCGGGGGAGGTCACAGGACAGACTCAAGAGCCACCACCACCACTGACACCACCATCACCGTCACCACCGCCACTACCACCAATACCCATACCCACCATTCGCCACTAAGTGACGGTGATGTCACCACGGCGCCTGTGCCAGGCAAGGTGCACTGCCACCACCACCCCCACTGCTAATGAACGCTCTGGGCGTCTTCTCCCCCCCACTGCCGGCTCTGTGGGGTGCAGGACGATTGCTCAACCGCTTTGGCCGGGATGTGGACTCGCTGGACACGCTGGTGCCCGAGAACCTGGACGCGTGGCTGCGTTGCTTCTGCTACACCCTCGCCACGCTCATGATCATCAGCATCGCCACGCCGACCTTCCTGCTCGCCGCCACGCCGCTCGCCATCGCCTACTGGTTCATACAGGTGGGGCGCTCCGTCCCCTACTGGGTCGTACAGGTGGGGCGCTCCGTCCCCTACTGGTTCATACAGGTGGGGCGCTCCGTCCCCTACTGGGTCGTACAGGTGGGGCGCTCCGTCCCCTACTGGTTCATACAGGTGGGGCGCTCCGTCCCCTACTGGTTCATACAGGTGGGGCGCTCCGTCCCCTACTGGTTCATACAGGTGGGGCGCTCCGTCCCCTACTGGGTCATACAGGTGGGGCGCTCCGTCCCCTACTGAGTCATACAGGTGGGGCGCTCCGTCCCCTACTGGGTCGTACAGGTGGGGCGCTCCGTCCCCTACTGGTTCATACAGGTGGGGCGCTCCGTCCCCTACTGGGTGGTACAGGTGGGGCGCTCCGTCCCCTACTGGGTCATACAGGTGGGGCGCTCACAATGTAATGCGACACAATTCCAGTGCGATAGACAATGCAATGCGACACAACCACACCGCGACGCAACACAACGACACCGCGACGCAACAACGCGATGCCCCCCCCCCCCCCACCCAGCGCTACTACGTGGCGACGTCGCGCCAGCTGAAGCGTCTGGAGAGCGTGAGCCGCTCCCCGGTGCTGTCGCACCTCGCCGACACGGTGCTGGGCCGCGCCGTCGTTCGTGCCCACGGCCAGCAGTGGCGCTTCGCCAGCGACAACGCCCGGCACATCGACGCCAACCAGAGGCCGACCTTCGCCGGCATCGTCTCCAACCGGTGCGCTTGCGGCGGCGGCGGCGGTGGCGGTGATCGTGGTGGTGATGGTGGTGGTGGTGATGGTGGTGGTGGTGGTGGTCGTGCTGGTGGTGATGGTGGTGGGGTGGGGGTAGTGGTGGTGGTGGTGATCGTGGTGATCGTGGTGGTGATGGTGGTGGTGGCGGTGATCATGGTGGTGATGGTGGTGGGGTGGTGGTGGTGGTGGCACGGTCGCAGGGTGGCACGAGAGTGGTGGTGTGCTGGCCGTGTGGTAGTGCAGTGATGCAGGGTTAGCGAGGAGGGGGCAGGTGTTGCCACGGTTACCACGCTCGCTGCACTACAAACCCGGCGGACCGAGTTCGATTCCCGTTCATGACCACCAACACCATCAGTGACGATTATCTGAACCGATCCTGGGCCACTCCTCGGTCCACTCAGCCTCAAATGAGTACCTGGTGTGGTGTGTAGTAAACTTTGCCACCGGGGAGACAAAGGCGGCCGGGCGTGGTGCTGGCCACCCACCCCCTCGTGTGCCACGGTGTCGGCCTTCATAGGCGCTCCTCACTAACAGCACTTGCCCCAACAGTCTGGAATCTTCGTCTTAGTTTGTCCGTTGAGTGTGCGGTTAAGCATCTTCGTGAGCATGTGTGGGTAGGCGTAGCAGCACACCAACACCCACCAGGGTGCACGCACACACACAGATCTCCACGCACACACACACACACAGATCTCCACGCACACACACACACAGATCTCCACGCACACACACACAGATCTCCACACACACACAGATCTCCACACACACACACAGATCTCCACGCACACACACAGATCTCCACGCACACACGCACACACAGATCTCCACGCACACACAGATCTCCACACACACACACACAGATCTCCACACACACACACACAGATCTCCACACACACACACACACAGATCTCCACACACACACACAGATCTCCACGCACACACACACACACAGATCTCCACGCACACACACACACAGATCTCCACGCACACACACACACACACAGATCTCCACGCACACACACACACACAGATCTCCACGCACACACACAGATCTCCACGCACACACACACACACAGATCTCCACACACACACACAGATCTCCACACACACACACACACAGATCTCCACACACACACACAGATCTCCACACACACACACACAGATCTCCACACACACACACAGATCTCCACACACACACACACAGATCTCCACACACACACACACAGATCTCCACACACACACACACAGATCTCCACGCACACACACACACAGATCTCCACACACACACACAGATCTCCACGCACACACACACAGATCTCCACGTACACACACACAGATCTACACACACACACACAGATCTCCACACACACACACACAGATCTCCACACACACACACAGATCTCCACACACACACGCGCAGCCCCACACTCCTAGCATCCGCTTACAAAGACAGAGGTACCCCGTATAGTCTTGACAGGCTGTCGGGGCAAGTGCCGGCCTTCACGGGCGCCGCCGCTCCCGCTCGCCGACGGCTCTTGCCCCGGCGGCGGTCCGTCGAGGCTCCACGGGTGACCTTTGTCTCCGTGTGCTCCCAGCTGGCTGGCCGTGCGGTTGGAGATCCTCGCCAACCTCATCGTCTTCTTCGCCACCCTCTTCGCTGTCGTCAGCCGCCACTCGCTGAGCCCCGGCATCGTGGGCCTCTCCGTGTCCTACGCCCTGCAGGTAGCCCCTCCCCCTCACCCTGCAGGTAGCCCCTCCCCCTCACCCTGCAGGTAGCCCCTCACCCTGCAGGTAGCCCCTCCCCCTCGCCCTGCAGGTAGCCCCTCCCCCTCACCCTGCAGGTAGCCCCTCCCCCTCGCCCTGCAGGTAGCCCCTCCCCCTCACCCTGCAGGTAGCCCCTCCCCCCTCACCCTGCAGGTAGCCCCTCCCCCCTCACCCTGCAGGTAGCCCCTCCCCCCTCGCCCTGCAAGTAGCCCCTCCCCCTGCCCTGCAGGTAGCCCCTCCCCCCTGCCCTGCAGGTAGCCCCCCCTCACCCTGCAGGTAGCCCCTCCCCCCTGCCCTGCAGGTAGCCCCCCCTCACCCTGCAGGTAGCCCCTCCCCCTGCCCTGCAGGTAGCCCCTCCCCCCTGCCCTGCAGGTAGCCCCTGCCCTGCAGGTAGCCCCTCCCCCTCGCCCTGCAGGTAGCCCCTCCCTCCTCACCCTGCAGGTAACCCCTCCCCCTCACCCTGCAGGTAGCCCCTCCCCCCTCACCCTGCAGGTAGCCCCTCCCCCCTCACCCTGCAGGTAACCCCTCACCCTGCAGGTAACCCCTCCCCCTCACCCTGCAGGTAGCCCCTCCCCCCTCACCCTGCAGGTAGCCCCTCCCCCCTCACCCTGCAGGTAGCCCCTCCCCCCTCACCCTGCAGGTAGCCCCTCCCCCCTCGCCCTGCAAGTAGCCCCTCCCCCTGCCCTGCAGGTAGCCCCTCCCCCCTGCCCTGCAGGTTGCCCCCCCTCACCCTGCAGGTAGCCCCTCCCCCCTGCCCTGCAGGTAGCCCCCCCTCACCCTGCAGGTAGCCCCTCCCCCTGCCCTGCAGGTAGCCCCTCCCCCCTGCCCTGCAGGTAGCCCCTGCCCTGCAGGTAGCCCCTCCCCCTCGCCCTGCAGGTAGCCCCTCCCTCCTCACCCTGCAGGTAACCCCTCCCCCTCACCCTGCAGGTAGCCCCTCCCCCCTCACCCTGCAGGTAGCCCCTCCCCCCTCACCCTGCAGGTAACCCCTCACCCTGCAGGTAACCCCTCCCCCTCACCCTGCAGGTAGCCCCTCCCCCCTCACCCTGCAGGTAGCCCCTCCCCCCTCACCCTGCAGGTAGCCCCTCCCCCCTCACCCTGCAGGTAGCCCCTCCCCCCTCGCCCTGCAAGTAGCCCCTCCCCCTGCCCTGCAGGTAGCCCCTCCCCCCTGCCCTGCAGGTAGCCCCCCCTCACCCTGCAGGTAGCCCCTCCCCCCTGCCCTGCAGGTAGCCCCTGCCCTGCAGGTAGCCCCTCCCCCCCCTCGCCCTGCAGGTAGCCCCTCCCCCCCCTCGCCCTGCAGGTAGCCCCTCCCCCTGCCCTGCAGGTAGCCCCTCCCCCCCCTCGCCCTGCAGGTAGCCCCTCCCCCCTGCCCTGCAGGTAGCTCCCTGCCCTGCATTATATTGCATTTAATTGCATTGCATGGCGGGGGTGGTAGTGGTGGCGGTGGTTGCGTTGGTGGCTGTCGTGGTTACGGTGGCGGTGGTTGCGTTGGTGGCTGTCGTGGTGATGGTGGTGGTGGTTGCGTTGGTGGCTGTCGTGGTTACGGTGGCGGTGATTGCGTTGGTGGCTGTCGTGGTGATGGTGGCGGTGGTTGCGTTGGTGGCTGTGGCGGTGATGGTGGCGGTGGTTGCGTTGGTGGCTGTCGTGGTTACGGTGGCGGTGGTTGCGTTGGTGGCTGTCGTGGTTACGGTGGCGGTGGTTGCGTTGGTGGCTGTCATGGTGATGGTGGCGGTGGTTGCGTTGGTGGCTGTCGTGGTGATGGTGGCGGTGGTTGCGTTGGTGGCTGTCGTGGTGATGGTGGCGGTGGTTGCGTTGGTGGCTGTAGTGGTGATGGTGGCGGTGGTTGCGTTGGTGGCTGTCGTGGTGATGGTGGCGGTGGTTGCGTTGGTGGCTGTCGTGGTTACGGTGGCGGTGGTTGCGTTGGTGGCTGTCGTGGTGATGGTGGCGGTGGTTGCGTTGGTGGCTGTCGTGGTGATGGTGGCGGTGGTCCCGGCCAAGGTGGCATTGCGACGTTGCCGTGCGTCTCCCTGCAGGTCACACTCACGCTCAACTGGCTGGTGCGCATGACCTCCGAGCTGGAGACCAACATCGTGGCGGTGGAGCGCCTGAAGGAATATTCTGATCTTCCCACCGAGGTAGGGCGCCCCGCTGGCCAGGAGATGTTAACAACCTCTCCCGGTACGCGGGAGGTCGTGGGTTCGATCCCGACCCTCACGCCCGCTGCTGCTGCTGTAGATTTGGGGTTTGCGTCTCTCTCCCCGTGGTGGATTTTTCTCCGGGTCCTCCGGTTTCCCCCCCCACGTTGAGAATCGACGTCACCACACGTTCAGGGTGTTTGAGAATCGTCGTCACCACACGTTCAGGGTGTTTGAGAATCGACGTCACCACACGTTCAAGGTGTTTGAGAATCGACGTCACCACACGTTCAGGGTGTTTGAGAATCGTCGTCACCACACGTTCAGGGTGTTTGAGAATCGACGTCACCACACGTTCAAGGTGTTTGAGAATCGACGTCACCACGCGTTCAGGGTGTTTGAGAATCGACGTCACCACACGTTCAGGGTGTTTGAGAATCGTCGTCACCACGCGTTCAGGGTGTTTGAGAATCGTCGTCACCACACGTTCAGGGTGTTTGAGAATCGACATCACCACGCGTTCAGGGTGTTTGGCCGCGGTAGATTCCCACGCGATGATGACGACGAGCCGCTTCGTCTGGCTGACATTTGTGATCGCGAGGCCGCTTCTGAGAAAGAGCTCCGTAGCTCAGTGGGGCCTTACCTGGTAAGATAGAAATTATATTTTAGTATTAGAGTGCAGTGCATTGCATCGCTTTGCAGTGTGTTGTATCGCAGTGCAGCTGATTGCATTCTATTGTTTGAGTTGACATCACGGAGTAAAACGAGCCCCGGCAACAGCAGTCAGGCCCCGTGGCACGCAGGGGGTTGTGGGAACCGCGGGGTGCGGTCGCTCTCGTCACGGCCCAAATCAGTCGCCCGTCCGCCACTTCGCGAAACACAAACGGAATGCACAATGACATGATTTAAAAATCTTGATTTTAAGCTTTCGTGACTGCAGGAATCCATACTCTTTGGTTCTTTCGCTGGAGTCACGGCAGTTTTTTCTTGCTGTGGCTGTCCCACCCGATGACGATTGCTTGCCGTGATCTCTTATTTTTCTACCTATTTGACTTCACCGACAACAAACAGAGATTTTGATTTTAAAACACAAGCAATCCACGTTCAAATAACATCATTAAGAAGCAATGAAAGCACGCGACTTTACGTTGACTACTGAGGGTTGAAGCGCGTGGTGATGATGAGGAGGACGATGCCCCCAGGCTGCGTGGGAGATCGCGGCCACGCGGCCGCCGGCGACGTGGCCGCACTGCGGGGACCTGGAGTTCGTGGACTACAGCCTGCGGTACCGCGACGGGCTGGAGCTCGCCCTCAACCAGCTCACATTCAGCGTGCGCGGAGGGGAGAAGGTGAGCCATGGGGAGTGTGGGGGGTGGAGCGTGGGGGGGGCGGAGCGTGGGGGGGGGGAGAGTGGGTGGGAGTGTGGAGGGTGTGGGAGTGTGGGAGCTCCCCTCTCTCCTCTCCCCTCTCTCCCAGGTGGGTATCGTAGGCCGCACGGGCGCCGGGAAGTCATCGCTCACCCTGGGACTCTTCCGCATCGTGGAGCCGGCCAGCGGCCTCATCCGCATCGACGGCGTGGACATCGCCCGGCTGGGCCTCACCGAGTTGCGCTCCAGACTCACCATCATCCCCCAGGTGCGGCCCTCTCACCCGGCATGGCGGCGGCGGCAGCGGCGGCTGGACAACGATGGGCCGGGTTGCTTCCGCTGGTGTCCTCGTGTATGTTTGTGGGGGTCGTGGTGGGGTAAAGTGTGAGTGCTTTCCCACCTCTTCCAAGACACCTGACCAGTGGAGCTGCCTGAGTAGGGGGCGGGGCTACCCGAGTAGTGGGCGGGGCTACCTGGGTAGTGGGCGGGGTTACCAAAGTAGCGGGCGGGGCTACCTGGGTAGTGGGCGGGGGCTACCTGAGTAGTGGACGGGGTTGCTAAAGTAGTGGGCGGGGCTACCTGAGTAGTGGGTGGGGGCTACCTGGCTAGGGGGCGGGGTTGCCATAGTAGTGGGCGGGGCTACCTGAGTAGTGGGCGGGGGCTACCTGAGTAGTGGGCGGGGGCTACCTGAGTAGTGGGTGGGGTTACCAGAGTAGTGGGCGGGACTACCTGAGGAGTGGATGTGGTCGACTGACAGTTCTCACCACGTGTCCAGGTTGAGCCTTCCCAGACACGTGGTAGATTTGCTGCTGCCACTGCTACCACTGCTGCTACTGCTGCTGTTATTCAAACTGCTATTGCTCCTCCTACTGCTGATACCACTGCTGCTCCTGCTGCTGCTGCTTCTTCCACTGCTTCTTCCACTGCTGTTAGTACTGCTACTACCGCTATTGCTACTGCTGATACCACCATTACCAACCGCTGTTGCTGCACGCTGCTACTGCTGCTACTACTGCTGACGGCGCTGCTACTGCCGCTGCTACTGATGCTTCCACTGCTGCTACTGCTGCTGCTGCCACTGCTGTTAGTACTGCTACTGCCGCTATTGCTACTGCTGATACCACCATTACCAACCGCTGTTGCTGCACGCTGCTACTGCTGCTACCACTGCTGCCGGCGCTGCTACTGCCGCTGCTACTGATGCTTCCACTGCTGCTACTGCTGTCGCTGCTGTTAGTACTGCTACTGCCGCTATTGCTACTGCTGATACCACCATTACCAACCGCTGTTGCTGCTACTGCTGCTACCACTGCTGCCGGCGCTGCTACTGCCGCTGCTACTGATGCTGCCGCCGCTGCCGCCGCTGCTGCTGCTGTCGCTGCACAGGAGCCAGTGCTGTTTGCGGGCTCGCTGCGCTGGAACCTGGATCCGTTTGGCCGGCACGAGGATGCGGAGCTGTGGCAGGTGCTGCGCATGGCGCACCTCGAGGACTTCGTGCAGCAGCTGGCCGGCGGGCTGGACCACACGTGCTGCGAGGGGGGGGAGAACCTCAGGTGGGTGTACGTGTGTACGTGCGTGTGTACGTGTGTGTGTGTACGTGTGTGTGTACGTGTGTGTATACGTGTGCGTGTGTACGTGTGTATGTGTGTGTACGTGTGTATGTGTGTGTACGTGTGTGTGTGTGGGGAGCGGTAGTGTAGCGGTTAGCGCGCTGCGCTATAAACCCGACGACCCGGATTAGATTCCCGCTCACGGCCAACACCAGTGAAGATTATCTGAACCGGTCTCGGGCATCCCCTAGGTCGACTGAGCCTCAAATGAGTACCTGGTGCGGTGTGTAAACATCACCACTGGGGAGACAAAGGCGGTCGGGGGTGGTGCTGGCCACCCACCCCCTCGTGTGCCGTGCCGGTCTTCATAGGTGCTCGCTAACAGCACTTGCCCCAACAGGCTATACGGGGGGATCTTTGTGTTTGTTTGTGTGTGTGTGTGTACGTGTGTGTGTACGTGTGTGTGTGTGTGTATGTGTGTGTGTACGTGTGTGCGTACGTGTGTGTGTACTACGTGGCCGGGAGTCGGAGCCATTCCTTGTACACCTCGGGGTGCGACAGGGATGTCCTCTGGCTGTCACATTATTTAACATCTATTTTGACCACGTAGTTCGTGAAGCCTTCAATAGCTGTACCGGGGGACCCACTAATGGAACATCTTCGCCAGTTAAAAACATTTAGGCTGGCCTGCCTACGATCCATTTTGGGTTTAACCAGGCTGGATTGTGTGAGGAGCTCGCTAAAATGCAGCAAGTCGGCACCGTGGTGGGTACAGCTGGTGGTGCATCTACCGGTCATCTCAGTCAGCCAACCCATGGCACCTGCTGGGTCTGTCCCGAGACCTCCTGCACCTAGCCTGGCACAGTAGGGGGTACAGCTGGTGGTGCATCTACCAGCGGTCATCTCAGTCAGCCAACCCATGGCACCTGCTGGGTCTGTCCCGAGACCTCCTGCACCTAGCCTGGCACAGTAGGGGATACAGCTGGTGGTGCAGCTACCGGTCATCTCAGTCAGCCAACCCATGGCACCTGCTGGGTCTGCCCCGTGACCTTCTGCACCTAGCCTGGCACAATAGGGGGTACAGCTGGTGGTGCAGCTACCGGTCATCTCAGTCAGCCAACCCATGGCACCTGCTGGGTCTGTCCCGAGACCTCCTGCACCTAGCCTGGCACAGTATGGGGGTACAGCTGGTGGTGCATCTACTGGTCATCTCAGTCAGCCAACCCATGGCACCTGCTGGGTCTGTCCCGAGACCTCCTGCACCTAGCCTGGCACAGTAGGGGGGTACAGCTGGTGGTGCATCTACTGATCATCTCAGTCAGCCAACCCATGGCACCTGCTGGGTCTGTCCCAAGACCTCCTGCACCTAGCCTGGCACAGTAGGGGGTACAGCTGGTGGTGCATCTACCGGTCATCTCACTCAGCCAACCCATGGCACCTGCTGGGTCTGCCCCGTGACCTTCTGCACCTAGCCTGGCACAATAGGGGGTACAGCTGGTGGTGCAGCTACCGGTCATCTCAGTCAGCCAACCCATGGCACCTGCTGGGTCTGTCCCGAGACCTCCTGCACCTAGCCTGGCACAGTACGGGGGTACAGCTGGTGGTGCATCTACTGGTCATCTCAGTCAGCCAACCCATGGCACCTGCTGGGTCTGTCCCGAGACCTCCTGCACCTAGCCTGGCACAGTAGGGGGGTACAGCTGGTGGTGCATCTACTGATCATCTCAGTCAGCCAACCCATGGCACCTGCTGGGTCTGTCCCAAGACCTCCTGCACCTAGCCTGGCACAGTAGGGGGTACAGCTGGTGGTGCATCTACCGGTCATCTCACTCAGCCAACCCATGGCACCTGCTGGGTCTGCCCCGTGACCTTCTGCACCTAGCCTGGCACAATAGGGGGTACAGCTGGTGGTGCAGCTACCGGTCATCTCAGTCAGCCAACCCATGGCACCTGCTGGGTCTGTCCCGAGACCTCCTGCACCTAGCCTGGCACAGTACGGTGGTACAGCTGGTGGTGCATCTACCGGTCATCTCAGTCAGCCAACCCATGGCACCTGCTGGGTCTGCCCCGTGACCTTCTGCACCTAGCCTGGCACAATAGGGGGTACAGCTGGTGGTGCAGCTACCGGTCATCTCAGTCAGCCAACCCATGGCACCTGCTGGGTCTGTCCCGAGACCTCCTGCACCTAGCCTGGCACAGTACGGGGGTACAGCTGGTGGTGCATCTACCGGTCATCTCAGTCAGCCGACCCATGGCACCTGCTGGGTCTGCCCCGTGACCTCCCACCAGTTAGCCTTCAAAAACTTCACGTGGCCTCAGCTTGCACTGAGCCTGGCTCTTCCTCCTCCTCCTCCCTGCTCCGTCTGCTGCCCCCACGCTGCCCCTGTACTCCCCTCCCTCCCCACGCTGCTCCCCTCCCCCCCCACGCGCCCCACCACAGCGTGGGGCAGAGGCAGCTGGTGTGCCTGGCGCGGGCGCTGCTGCGCCGCACGCGGGTCATCGTGCTGGACGAGGCCACGGCCGCCGTCGACCTGAGCACCGACGCCCTCATCCAGGCGTCGATCCGCTCGCACTTCGCCCAGTGCACGGTGCTCACCATCGCTCACCGCCTGCACACCGTCATCGACTACGACCGGTGAGCGGCGCGCACGGCGCGCGGGTGGGTGGGGGTGGGGGTGGGTGGGTGGGAGGGCGTTGTGGGTGGGGTGGGGTAGATGGGTGGGTGGGGTGGGAGGGCGTTGTGGGTGGGGTGGGTAGGTGGGTGGGTGGGGTGGGTAGGTGGGTGGGGTGGGTAGGTGGGTGGGGTGGGTGGGGTGGGTAGATAGGTGGGTGGGGTGGGTGGGGTGGGTGGATGGGTAGGTGAAGTGGGTAGATGGGTGGGTAGATGGGTGGGAGGGGTGGGTAGATGGGTGGGGTGGGTGGGTAGATCGGTGGGTGGGGTGGGTAGGTGCGTGGGTTGGGTTTTTAGGTGGGTAGGATGGGTGGGTGGGTGGGCTGTGTAGATGGGTGGGTGGGGTGGGTGGATGGGTGGGTGGATGGGTGGGTGGGTGGGGTGGGTGGATGGGTGGGTGGATGGGTGGGTGTAGTGGGTAGATGGGTGGGTAGATGGGTGGTTAGATGGGTGGGGTGGGTGGGTAGATCGGTGGGTGAGGTGGGTGGGGTGGGGAGATCGGTGGGTGGGGTGGGTGGGGTGGGGAGATCGGTGGATGGGGTGGGGAGATGGGTGGGTGGGGTGGGTAGATCGGTGGGTGAGGTGGGTGGGGTGGGGAGATCGGTGGGTGGGGTGGGTGGGGTGGGGAGATCGGTGGGTGGGGTGGGGAGATGGGTGGGTGGGCTGGGTAGATCGGTGGGTGAGGTGGGTGGGGTGTGGAGATCGGTGGGTGGGGTGGGTAGATCGGTGGGTGGGGTGGGTAGATGGGTGGGTGGGGTGGGTGGGTGTTGTAGTGGCGGTCACGGTGGTGACAATTAGCGCTGGTGGAATATTTAGTTATACTGGAGGAATCCGATGAGCTATAAAGCTCTTTATTGCACATATTGACCAGCGGGGGCACGGCGTCAAAACGTTACCAACAAGACACAGCACGACAAGCACGACGGTGGTGCAGGAACGGAAAAACGAATCGTCCAGGCAAAGCCCACTGATGTAGGAACAGCCCACTGAGGTTAGCGCGTGGGCCCCGGGGAATTGTTGTTGTTGACACTGCCCACGCCCGTCTCGCGTCACGTTGTCCCTCCAGAGAGAGAGATGAGAGAGCACGGTGGCGCGTGTAGTGGTGTAGTGTAGTGGTGTAGTAGTGGTGTAGTGTAGTGGTGTAGTAGTGGTGTAGTGTAGTGGTGTAGTAGTGGTGTAGTAGTGGTGTAGTGTAGTGGTGTAGTGTAGTAGTGGTGTAGTAGTGTAGTGTAGTGGTGTAGTGGTGGTGTAGTGGTGTAGTGTAGTAGTGGTGTAGTAGTGTAGTGGTGTAGTGTAGTGGTGTAGTAGTGTAGTGGTGTAGTGTAGTAGTGGTGTAGTAGTGTAGTGGTGTAGTGTAGTGGTGTAGTAGTGGTGTAGTAGTGTAGTGGTGTAGTGTAGTGCTGTAGTGTAGTGGTGTAGTGTAGTGGTGTAGTAGTGTAGTGGTGTAGTGTAGTGGTGTAGTAGTGGTGTAGTGTAGTGGTGTAGTAGTGTAGTGGTGTAGTAGTGTAGTGGTGTAGTAGTGTAGTGTTTAGTAGTGTAGTGTTTAGTGGTGTAGTGGTGTAGTGTAGTAGGGTAGTGGTGTAGTAGTGGTGTAGTGTAGTGGTGTAGTAGTGTAGTGGTGTAGTAGTGTAGTGTTTAGTAGTGTATAGTAGTTTGTATGTGTGTATGTTGAACTTCTTTTGCACCGTACATAGCCAACCGCACGCAAATCGGAGATGCAGGGGAAGGACAACAATCTAAACACAAAAAGCAGTTCTAAAGAAATGAGATTGTCAATCTCGATTATGATTTAAAAGTGCACAGCTCCAGTGGCTTCCTAATATCCAGACGGCCATGGAAGCGCATCTGAAAGCGCCGCGATGCGGTGACCACCGTCTTTGATCGATGGCCAGTCAAAAGCCACAAATGCAGACGTACACAAATGCACAAATATGCGAGTACACATATAAACCTTATGGCGGAACTCCGGGGTGCCATAAGCCCCCGGCTCTCGCATAAACTGCGTTGCGACGTCATTTTACGTCCGTTGAAGGCGAACGATACGGCAATATATTCCTCTCGACGAGCTCAACACGATGCGCTAATCAAAGTTCCAAAGTTGTGTTTCTTCTGCCGTGTCGCCCTCGCTGCGCTTGGACGACACGGCAGAATGGTCCACACCAGGTGGGTCGCGCCGTTTATGTTTGCGGTGGGACGGAGTCGCCATCAATTAATTAATTAATTGCTATTTTGACTACCGTTTATTCGGGACCCCCCCGGGGTCCCGCCATGAGGTTCACATAAACAAGCACACATCCACAACCGCACAAGCACACCAGCCCTCATGCATTGACGCCACAAGCCGGGCAAGTCCAGTTCACTGAGCGAGCCTCCGCGCTGCGGCCCTGCCGTTGCTCGCAGGCTGCTGGTGCTGGACGCCGGGCGCATCGTGGAGTACGACTCCCCCCAGGCACTGCTGGAGCGGCGTGGCGTCTTCTACAGCCTGGCCAAGGAGGCAGGGGTGCTGTGAGCCCTCGGGAGGCGTGCCGCCACTGGGAAGTGCGGGTGGCGGACGGGGCGAGGAAGAGGCGGTGGTGGCGGGGTAGGTGGAGGAGGAGGTGGCGGTGCAGAGATGTCGCTTCTGGAATGCTCTGCTGGCTGAGGAGCCTCACGGCTGCAGATCTACGTCAAGGGGCTGCCTTGGAAGATGACGCCATGGACCCCACGGAAGCCTCAACTCTCAGTGGGCCTCCCAGCCCGCCACGGGGCGGCCTCCCAGCCCGCCACGGGGCGGCCTCCTTGTACAGCACGGTGTGGCCTCCTTGTACAGCACGGTGTGGCCTCCTTGTACAGCACGGTGTGGCCTCCTTGTCCGACACGGGGGCGGCCTCCTTGCCCGACACGGGGGCGGCCTCCTTGCCCGACAAAAGGCGGCCTCCCCGCCCTCCACGAGGCGGCCTCTTTGTCTGCCGCAGTGCGGCCTCCTTGTCCGCAACGGGTCGCGTGCCACGGTGGGCGGTTGTCAGGCGAAGCGTTGTGACTCTCAGCTGGGCTCTGATAGGCTAGGGGCGACGCTTGCGTTGTACGCTGGCGCTGCACTCGCGCGATCGCGTCGTCACGGGACGGAGACGACCCAGCGCCAACCTTGTTAGAGAACCGGCCCGCGGAAGCGGATATCACAGAGCTCCATCTGAGTTTCCTTTTGTCATGTGACCTCTGGTCTGGTACAGTAGGGGGGCAGCACTTTCCCAATATTTGTTTTTTCTCAAAAGTGGAATTTAACCAAAGTGCAAAACCAAATTTAACGTAGTTTTATTTGCGTGCAGTCATTTGTGACTAGGCTGAGACAATCAACTCGCTGCACTTGAGAACCTATGTGACTCTGTGGGTCTCTATGTGACTCTATGGGTCTCTATGTGAGTCTATCGGATTCTATGTGAATCTGTGGGTTTCTGTGAGTCCACGGATCTCTATTTGAGTCTACGGGTCTCTGTATGAGTCTACGGGTCTCTATGTGAGTCTACGGGTCTCTATGTTAGTCTACAGGTCACTATGTGAGTCTACGGGTCTCTACGTGAGTCTATGGGTCTCTGTGTGCAGTCATTGGTGATGGGGCTGAGACCATCAACTTGCTGCACTTGAGAACCCGGTGACTGAAATCCAGGTTCGAACCCAGGCTCTCAGCATTGCTGGCTCCGCGTCCCCAATAACGGTTTGAATCTCCAGTCCCAGGGCTCGAACTCAGGTTTTCCTGCAGTGCAGCCTCACTGGCCCCGGCACAGCCATTATATGCCTCCTGAGGGGGCTATTCGGCGCGGTGAAGATGTCATGCCTACCATGGCCGTATAGACGTATTGTCTTGATTGGTTGACGTTTCAATCTCCCTTCGAGGCCTATTTAAGGATTTTTCTTTTTTTACAATGGGGAACTTAAAGTAGTCTGTGTGATTACTGGTTACTTGAGTTTTTTTAAAGTAACCTAATCTGATCCCATAACAGGGTTCTTGTTGTTCTTGTTGTTGTTGTGTTTTTTTAGTTGTTGTATCCACCGGTAACAAGCCACTACTAGGCCAAGGTCTCGCCTATTTCTCCCTTTCCCCAGCTGCTCCGGCCCCGTCATTACCTCCGAACCCTGCTGTCATCTCTCTGCCACAGTCTCTTCCGCCGCCTCCTTACCACTCCTCTTCCTTTCTCTCGGACTCCACTCCGTAGTTCGGTTTGATTGTTTAAAGTATGGCGGACACACTCCTCACCAACACGTCGAGACAGGTCAGGGTTCCATTTTGTTAATTGCACTTCTGGAACACACATAGCTCCCTCCTTCATCCACAGTGCTATCCTTCACTCACAGCTCTTTCTATAACACACACAGCTCCCTCCATCCACAGCTCTCCCCTTCACTGACGGCGCTCAACCATAACACACATAGCTCCCTCCTTTCATTCATCCACAGCTCTCTCCTTCACCCACAGCTCTCTCTATAACACACACAGCGCCCTCCATCCACAGCTCTCTGCTTCATCCACGGCTCTATACCTTAACACATACAGCTCCCTCCTTCATTCACAGCTCTCCTCCTCTTGTCCCTCTGCCGACGTGCCCTCTTATCCCCACGGTCCCCTCTCCCATTTCCTCCCCCTCCCCTCATCCATCTCACCTCATTCCCAGCCGCAAATCACACATCGTCACATCTCGGACCATGTCTCCTCATCTCCAGCCACCAATCACAGATCGTTATTTCGTGCGGTTACTCCCGGTCAACTCGATCACGAAAACTCGGTCACGAAAGCTTTAAATCGAAAAATAAAGGGATTGCCGTTGGCGTGTAGGGGACTGCTGATGGTGTATGCACCGTTATGGAGGACCGTTACAAATGTATAGTAATCGACTTAGCTTGACTTGTTAATTGTCAGGATCGTTTCAATTTGACAAGACGTTCATTGATGTGATCTTGGAAATACCAGCACTTCACTGTGACCGTTAAAATTGTTGACATTTTTTTTATTTGTACCAGATAAGGTCCCCACTGAGCTATGTAGCTAGTTTTCATAAGCGACCTGGCCATCACAAATGATAGCTCAACGTTTGTTGTGAAAGGGACCTCGCTAGGGCAAGTTGTCCTGACAAAGGGAAATGTATTGTTCCAACGGTAACATTGTTCTAGCTTCTAAACTCATTTCCTTCGAACTGCTTTTTGTGTTCAGTTTGTTGCCCTTCCCCACACCTCCGATTATTAGCACGGTTGGCTTTGTACACGGTGCGAAAGAAGTTAAACACATTTACAAACTACTATACACCACACTACTATACACTTACACTATACACCACACTATACACACTACTATACACTCCAATGAGCACGCTTGGCCACATACGGTGCCAATGATGTTCAACACACACACTGACAACACATACGCACACACTGTGCTGTCTGCCGGCCGAGTCTGCCCCCCATGACATCGAAGCGCGGCGCCCCCCACCGCCTCCGCAACGCGGGGCCCGGAGCAGCCGCCCCGATTCGCAATACCCTCGGGGTGGCTCTGCGTGTGGAGCACGGCTGTTGATGTCCCCTTTCTCTCCACCTCCTCCCCCCCCCTTTGTCTCTCCCCCCTCCTTATAGACCCCCTCTACTCTTTCACAGCAATGGGATGTATTTCCCCGCCTCTCGCCTTTCTATCACGCCTTCCTTGCCCGCAACCGCGTCTCTCGTTTATCTCGCCGGGCGTTTGTAACTTTCTGACCCCCGTGGCCCCCTGCTGGAGACCCGTGAAAAAGAGCGTCATAGCTCATCGGATTTCCCCCGGATGAGTAAAGATTCTGATTGTGCTCACGTGAGTGCTTGACAACAATGCAATGGCAATATTTGTAAAAGCAAATAGAGGCAAAACACTTCACGGCGTCTCAATGCAAGATTAGACACTACGAATAAACCCTGTTGGCTTTGCAAACCCATATTATTCATCTGCATTTGTTTTGGGGCAGGATGGTGGTGAGATGTTAACTACCTCCCCTGGCATACAGGAGCTCGTGGGTTTAATCCCAACCCTGACGCCTGCTGCTGTATACTTGGAGTTTGCGTGTCTCTCTCTCTCTCCCTGTGGTCGCGTGGAATTTCCTTGGGTCATCTGTGTTTTTTTCTCCACAATTAAGATCAACGCGCGTTCAGAGAATTTGGCTGCTATACATTCCCACGTGATGATAACCCACTTCGTTGAGCTATCATTTGTGATAGCCAGGTCGCGTCTGAAAAATAGCTGCGACATAGCTCAATGGGCCTTACCTGGTAAAATAAAAAAATAAAATAGTTTACTTTAAGCTTGAAAAAACTCTGGACCCGCTTTTGAATCTCAGCAGATCCCGGCTTCATTAAATAATTGTTGCTGAGGCTGCCAGATATTGTTGGTAAGAGCACTCCACACAAACAGTGGGATCCTGTTTGTGTGGAGTGCAAACATTAAGTGTGTGTGTGTGTGCCTCCTGGCAGGAGTCTACGTGCCTGTATATGTGTGGTGCCGGCCACCCACCCCCTTGTGTGCCGTGCCGACCTTAATAGGTGCTGCTACTAGCCAACAGCGCTTGTCCCAACAGGCTGTTAAAGGCTACACGGTGCATCTTTTTGTATTTGTATTGTGTCGTGTGTGAAGTTGAGAGAGAGATCGCTGTTTCGCACTACAATACTCCATGATGAGTGGCTCCCCGCGTGTCAGTCCTCCGATGCGTTTGGAAATTTTCCCACCTTTTTGTGTCCGGGCTCGGATGGATTCAGTAAAATGGAAATGTATTGTTAGACGATGATGATCATGAAGGGGACGACGACGATGATGATGTTGTAATAGGTTTTTACCCTTTTATCTGGCACCAAAACTAACACCTTTATACAAGGGATCATGTTTGCAATAACCACAACACAAGCAGTCAAAATGCAAACAAAAAGAGACAACTCTGATAATAATATGCATTGTCCTTGAAATTGATTGGTCCACACCCGAGACGGCTTTTCTTAGAGCCTTTTGGCGTCATCTGGTCCAACACCAGTGGAGACTAAGCTCTAAGAAAAGCTGTCTCGGGTGTGGACCAATCAAATTCAAGGACAGTGCATATTATTATCAGAGTTGTCTCTTTTTGTTTGCATTTTGACTACTTGTGTTGTGGTTATTGCAAACATGATCCCTTGTATAAAGGTGTCAGTTTTGGTGCCAGATAAAAGGGTAAAAACCTATTACTATATCTTGCTACTGGCAAAGGAGGTCTCATAGTGATGATGACGTTGTTGGGTTTTGTTGTGTGAAGTCATTGGTGAACCGGACTGAGACATGCTGCAGCTCATGACACACGGCTGGTTTAATGATGTAACCACAGGTGGCTCAAACCTGGATTTGAACTCAGGATATGAGCAGAGCTGGCTCGGTGTCTCTGACACAGCCATTATGAACCTTCTGAGAGAGAGAGACCCAAATTCAGAACTTGAATCGTGAACCCAGGATCTAGGTAGTACTAGTCCAGTGTGTTCCACACGGCGCTTATGAACCTTCCTAGACAGAGAGACCACTTCTCAGGATCTTCTTCGTCTACTTTAAAATACCTTTTCCCCTGCTCCCCTCTAGGAGCCGTCAAACATAACCTCCAAAACCCACCCCACCTTTCCCTCCCTTGACCCCCTACCGCCTTCCCTGCTTCCCTCTGTCATCCCCACAATCTTCCCGTTCCTCCTAGCTCTCAACGCTTCCCTCGCATCAGGCATCTTCCCTAACCCCTCCAGAAACGCCATCGTCATCCCACCCCTTCTCAAAAAACCTTCCCTAGATCCTTCCATGCCTGCAAACTCTCGCCCCATCATCTTTCCTTTCCTGCTTCTCCAAACTCCTCGAACGCCCAGTGCACACCCGACTCGCTGCACGCGTCTCTTCTCACTCTCTCTCGCTATCTCACTCTCACTATCTCTCTCTATCTCCTCGCTATCTCACTCTCACTATCTCTCTCTATCTCACTCGCTATCTCACTCACTATCTCTCTCTATCTCACTCGCTATCTCACTCTCACTATCTCTCTCTATCTCACTCGCTATCTCACTCTCACTATCTCTCGCTATCTCACTATCTCTCTCTATCTCACTCTCTATCTCACTCTCTCGCTATCTCACTCTATCTCTCTGTCTCTATCTCACTATCTCTCTATCTCACTCTCTCTCTCTATCTCACTCTCTATCTCACTCTCTCTATCTCACTCTATCTATCTCTCTGTCTCTATCTCACTCTCTCACTCTCTATCTCACTCTCTCTCGCCATCTCACTCTCTCTCTATCTCACTATCTCACTTTCTATCTCACTATCTCACTCTCTCTCTATCTCACTCTCTCACTCTCTCTATCTCACTATCTCACTCTCTCTCTATCTCACTCTCTCACTCTATCTCACTCTCTCTATCTCACTCTATCTATCTCTCTGTCTCTATCTCACTCTCTCTCT